ACTTTTACCATCCCGTCCTTTGGTGGCCGAAAAAAGAAACAATTTCATATATTTTAAAATAAACGACTATAATTCTGTGCCGGAGCCCCTGTTTCCGAATCCAAGTGCCGATTTGAAGACGAATTATCCAGTTGTTGGACAATTTACTTTTCAGTCCTACTAGTAAGACTTTGAAAAAAATTGAGTAAATGTAGGATAGGATTTTTTTTCCCAAAATGTACACCTTTGTTTTGCAAGAATTTTTTTTTACGACGAAGGTATCTAGAATGTTGTCATATTATTGATAAATTTTGTTTACATGGGCAATGTTTTATGACGTACCTGATAATAAGATTGTTGACACTTATGAGGAAATATAAAGCGACTTGCAAAACAAGAGATGAAGTGTTCTTAAAGTTAAATTTATGAGACGAAATCAAGAGAAAAAAAAACCTATAAATGGGAAGGGCCTTGAAGGATAGTAAAGAAAACCCCTTTGACCATTTCTTTAGGTAAAGCACGTTACAAAAATAAATCCTAAATGGGAAGGGCCTTGAACGATAATAAAGGAAAACCCCTGATTTTATTCATGAAGGTTGAAGGTAAACTCACAAACTATTGCGAGAATCTAATTAAAACCTATAAATGGGAATTTTAAACATGTTAAAGGGCTTTGAAAGATAGTAAAGGGAAACCCTTATACCATTCATTTAGGTTAAAGTTTAATTCGGGACTTTATGAAATTCAACCAAACATGAGGTTTGGTAAGAAAAATTTTGAAGGGAAAATGGTCGTAATGGAATGGATAAAGTTATTTTCCATTCTTCCTAAATAATAACGAGAATCATTCCTCCTTTCATTAAGAGTTAACTTTTAAAGATTTTTTTCAAAGCAGATAGAGTATGCGTCAGATGTAGGATATATACATGCATTGAAACGGGATATTGTGTCGTGTGGTAAAAATGTATACCTTGCGGTACTGTGAAAAACATTTTTTTTTGTCAATTGTGAAAAAAGGGGTACAATCCACGATAATAATATTTCAGTAAAAAGTGTCTCAATCCATACAGTGAGAGTGTTTATATTCTATGAATTGTCAAAGATTTGTTACGATTTTTTATCAGTGTGATACTGTTTTTTTTCTGCAAAAAGGTGCCACCACTGCCCAGAGAGAGAGAGGAGAGAGAGAGAGAGAGAAAGAAAAAAACCCAAGACAACTGTACAGAGTGTTTTTCATATCTTTCGTGTCTTTAAAGAATGTATTTTATTTTTTAGAAAGTGTATTTTGTAATTCTATACTTTTTTGAGTGCATTTAGATTACATTATATATTTCGTAATATTTGTCTATGTATTTCCTTTGAGAAAGCCATCTGAAAGTATGTAATTATAAAAAAAAAATTCAAGTAAAGTTTAAGTCAGCGCGACGACATCACATAAATATCACGTTAAACTTTCAATTTAATGTAAAATTCGCTGCAAGAGAGATTATTCCGTATCATAAGCTTTTTTAAACAAATCTTGGGGACACGATTTTCGATAGTATGGGGATTTATCATAACGAAAATTGCAGTAAATATGAAAATGAAACAGATTTTATGAGTTTGCAGTTTTAGTCTGACAAAAGATAACGAACGCGAGCTCTACAGATAAACGTAATTTAAAAGGCTGATCAATAGGAATTAAACTTATAAACCGGAAGGTCCCAAGAAATAAATCATGGGAATGCAGCTGCTACTTACTTGCTTATGAAAAGATGTATTTGTTTAGGGTGAAGAAGGAACCAATAGTATTGAAATGATCAGAGTTCAGGTATTTAAATAAATTAGCTACAACAATGATATTCAAAGATAATTCAAAAGATTTAAAATCATTTTAAAAGTGCATTACAAATTTAAGAAGTACTCAAGGTCAGAATAATAGTAATTAAAATTTGAATTAAAATTCAAAGTAATTATTGCAAATTTTGAAGGAGTTACAAAAATGGAGATGTAAATCTACAAAGCTACACCTAGTATAAAATGAGCAACCGGGAAAGACAGGATTTCAGTGGAAAGCTAAATCCTGACTCTCTTGGTTGCATTTTAGACTTGCGCGGTTTTTGTCAAATCATTAAAATTTTTACATGGCTTAATTTCTTTTACAGGTTCGGTTTTTAATATTAGAACTAATAATGTTTAGTATAATGTAAAGTATTTGGTAAGAAATTATTTATTGTAATCATAGCGATTACAAATATATTGTTTAATTTAATAAAAAGTGGAAAGCTGAATCTTGACTGTCTTGGTTGCATTTTATACAGGTTGGGAAACATCGCCACTCCCCAACACATCTTGGCCGCTCATGACCACAAATTTAAAAGGAATTATATAATAAGAGAGAATATCGAAATTGAGTCATTCCGGTACCTCCACAAGCCATGCGAAAGTTTAGAAGGAGTTATATAATAAACGAAATGAGATCTACGAGTTCCATGCTGTCAATGAGATAATCAGTATGTGGAAAAAAAAACAAAGAAGAACAAAATTTCCTTTTATTTTTTTAGAAATATAATGAACAAATATATCATGATAGTTAAAGTGAAGTATGCCTGAGCGTCCACAACCCATATTCAGAATGACAGCCGTGCCGAATATGTATCTACAGATGACCACTTGCTTTGTAAAACTTTCAACTGAAGAGAAATAACAGGAACACTTTTGAAATAATTTTGATTAAAACAATTTTCACCGTATGTTTTTAATTGGAATATTCTACAAGCCTACATATTTTTAATATCCTATGTATTATAAATAACAAGCTAATCATAACTTTGATTAAAATCTTTTCTAAGTTTATGGTCTTAGGACCAGATTTTTAATTTTTTTTGCCCGAATGGAGAAAAGAATGATCCACGATTTTTCAGGGAGATACAAAGATGTTTTGAAGGAGGGCTCGAGAGTAATAGTCATTTTTAGACGATAAAATTAAGGGACAAGAAAAGATTTGTATACAAATAGATGAAAATACATTCAACAACAAAACAGGTTGTTATTACAACAAAACTCATATCTCATCTTTAAGGAAGGTCAAGACTCGAATGACAACTCTGAAAGCTTTAGTTGAAAGAGATGATAAAAATAGACATAATTCAAGATCTAAATAATGTAATACACCAAAAATACACCAAAAAGATCTCATATTACGCATGTGTAATATATATATACTAATCTTCCTAATTTTCATTAATCAATGATTTATTTCACAAAACTCAACCACTGAAACACAAAAAGTTGAAATAACCAAAACTTTTTAAACTTAAAGAAATAAGAATTAAATTAGAATAACAAATATTATGCATTTTATATCACAAATGTACCAAAATTAGTCCCAAACAGTAGTAACCTTTTGAAGGAATTCAAAGAAAAACAGTAATATAATCATGGCAATTCTATCCAGAAACTACCCAGTAATAATTTTAAGAATTGTGTAGCCTGTTGTATGAAACTATTTTCTTAAATATGACTAAATCTGATTATTGGGTAGTATTTCTTAAGTTAAAACTCAAACTAAAAATAGGACCAGCGCTCATTTTTCTAAACATTCTAGTTTTTTTTCTAGATATTGCATTTTTCATGGAGTTTACTTTTCCATGTGCCCAGTGCTAAAAAATAGGGGAAGTAACTCTAATACTAAGATGGCAATTGACACGTAATGTTCAATTAATAGGAAAAATAATTGAATTTAAAACTTAAAAACAGAGCATGAGAAATCGATTAAATACAGAGGAATATGAAATTTTGAAAGAGTATTTTTTTTCTGGCACAGAAACTTAAATCGCATGCATGGTGATTATCATGCTCGTGAGTGTCTTCTTTATTAAAGCTTGAAACCCACAATCTAAACATGTGGTGAACATGTTGAAGTTTCTCATTTTTTTTTATATGTGTACCGAAAAATTAACTCTCAAACTGATCATCTTATCAGCTGATTGATTTCCATTATCACGCTTCACAGCATAGTCGCCGATTAACGATAGTGTTATTACGAGAAATAAACATTAGAAATGTAAAAGCCATAGCTTTTCTCGTGTGTATTTCTTGTGACAAGAACTTTTTTGGGTACAGTCAACTTTTATTCAGCTTTAACTTGTGCCATATTTTTTTGGTTCCAACGTCAAGGTTATAAGAAATGAATCATACTTCATATGTAGAGTATGAAAGCCACAGCACCAAATATTTATAAGTTATAGCTCAGGTTAAAGTTGGATAAAATTCTGAAAAAATGGATCAAACTCTAAGTTCAAAAGGTCAAATGTAATGGTACCCCAAGAAATGTCTTGTCACAAGAAATACAAGTACCCATTAGAAGTGTAAAATCCATAAATTTTTCTCATGTGTATTTCTTGTGACAAGACCTTTGTTTGGGAACAATCAAGTTTGACCTTTGTTTGATCTTAGAGTTTGATCCAGTTTTGCAAACTTTTATTTAAATTTAACCTGTGTCATACCTTATGGATCCAAGGTCAAGGTTTGAAGGTACGCAAATAAAGGACTTTTCACAAGAAACACACATGTGAAATATAAAGCTATCGCTTCAGTTAAACAAAAGTTATTTCCAAGGTTAAAGTTTTGCTGACAAACAGACAGACAGATATACAAACAGACACGGCAAAAGCTATGTACCCCGGAATCCTCTATTTAAGTGAAATAACAGAAAAGTTTTTTTGCTGTCGTGCATTCATTGTTACATGTATATGACCTTTTACCGAGTTTCTGAATATAACTTTACACATTTTACAAAGCATGCATAGGAAGAAGAAAAATTGAACTTAAATTATATAAATATACATGACTGTAAAATCCTTTTTTGTACATAAAAATATCGCAATGATAGAAGGACCTCTTTTAAAAAAAAAATACTACAAATTTCGAGGTGTTTTGGTATTTCTCATAACGTTCTGTATTTAAATGCATGTTTTTATAATCATCTTTCAGTAAATTTAAGCAGAGTGGCTGGAGTTACTGCTTCACAAAGCTCAACAATGAGTTCTTTGGTTGTATCACATGCTGTTGATAACAATTACAGTCAGTCTTTCCCAAGCTGTTCGCATACCGCTAAGAACAGGAACGTGGCTTGGCTTCAATTAAATCTTGGAAAAATTTACAGTCTAAAATCAGTCAAAATATACACCAGGAATGAAGGTAAAGTAAAAAGGCGCTGGGGAGTAAACTGTTATGGTTTATACAAACCATATTTCCTTGTCTTCTTTTAAGATAATGATATCTATCTAATACATTGAACTAAGTAAATGTAATTCTTTTAAAAGAAGTAATAATTTAAGCATTTGGGGTCTATTTTTTCAATATATTTTTAATTTTGGAACCAAAGTCCTACTTTCTTTTTCTTTCTTTCTTTTTCTCTCTGGTGTGTCTTTGTGGTAGGTGGGAGTGTTAGGGTGTTTGTAAGGTTTGTGAGAGAGAGAGAGAGAGAGAGAGAGAGAGAGGGGAAAACCTATACGGTTTAGAAAGGACATTTAATTTGACATTTTTGACTTAGACTATCTTCATATTATAATCATTTTAGTTATTAATACTGAACTTAGTACTGACAGTCAAATAAAATAAAAAAAAATTAACAAGGATGTATATTATTGTTCCACATATAGTGACTGTATAATTTGAAGAGGGACTTTCTGTTCATAAACAATAATTACTTACTTTATTTGTATATTGATGTAAATTTCTGTAAACAATTTTGAAATGGAATTGATCAGAAAAAACAAATCAGGTCCATCAATACTTAGTCATTAAATTTGAACGGAAATACTATTCTATAATTAAAAGATTCTCGATCAAGAGTAATACAATTAGGAGCTTTGAAGTAGATCGTGTGTAGGGCTAAAACTCTATGGTGCAGAGATGAAGACCGAGTGCATAAATATTACTAAGGTTGATATACCTTGATTGGATGAGGGTGTCATGTTGGTATTCATAGGTCAACGGAAAGACCTACGGACAAAGTGTAGGTTGCATTGCAATGGTAAGACAGCTAATGAAAAATACTGTTGTTATCCAGGACCAAAAATACCCTCTGAGCATAAAATATTCTGTTTGCCGAATAGCAGCAAATCTTCTTTTGGCTTTCATTTGGACTTATCTCTTGACCAATCTGTTGGTCTAAATTTCCGGATGTTACTTTAATTACTTTGGAGATTTGGTTCAACTGGGAATCACTATCTAGTTAGGAGGCTATACCAGGGCATCAACAATAGCGGGAAACATGGGATAATTTGAATAACGGGCGAAGCTTATTATGTCAAAATTATCCCATGTTTTCCCGCTATTGTTTTATGTCCCTGGTATAATCTCCTAACTAGACACTGATTCCTTATGTTTTCATTTTTACTTGAAACAACAATCTTGAAATAAATCAAAGTACCTGTTAATTTAGTAGATTTGAAATGCACGAAGCATTCCATTTTTTTCCCACTGCCCCGCCCCATGACGTAAAACTTTACTATACAAAATTGTCTCATAAAACACAAAACAAATTTAATGATGTTTTGTTACTGTAGTCAAAAATCAACATTTATATAATAAACAACAAAATAATTTTAAAATATGATCAAAGCAATCTTGTTAACCTAAATTATATATGTGACCTAGATTTAGGTTGTAGGAAATACAAGCACGCTTATGCATGTATACCCTATTTCACTTCTCCGACCCAGATAGCATGACTACGTTGGCCCAACGTTGGCTAATGGTTGGACCGTTGGTCGATGGTTGGCGTTGGGTTTACAACGTTGGCCCAATGTTGGGCCAATGTTAACATTACACTATTTTACTCAGAGGCCGGGTTGGTTGGGGACACAACGTTGGCCCAATATCGGGCCAATGTCAACATTACAATTTTACTCTGAGGCCGAGGTTGGTTGGGGACACAACGTTGGCCCAACGTTGGGCCACTGTTGTTGGCTTGTCACCACTAAGTTGACAGATTTTGATGGGAGTACAACATTGTCCCAACGTTGGGCCAACATTGGTGAATCACGTTCTTATTTTGTTGTAGTTTGTTGGGCATACAACGTTGGCCCAGTGTTGGGTCAATGTCATCATAACAGTATTTTACTTAGAAGCTGGGGTGAGGACACTACAATGACCCAACGTAGGACCACTGTTTACAACGTTGGCCCATTGTTGGATCAATGTCAACATTACAATATTTTACTCAGAGGCCGAGGTTGGTTGTGGACACAACGGTGACCCAACGTTGGGCCACTGTTGTTAGCTTGCCACCAATAAGCTGACATATTTTGTTGGGAGTACAACATTGGCCCAACGTTAGGCCAACGTTGGTGAGTCACGACATTATTTCGATACAATATTTTGTATAGCCAACGTTGAACCAACTTTAGGTGAAGTCAGAATTCAGGAAACGTGAACTGTTTGTAATAATATCGGACAAGAAGATGGAAAAGTGAAAGAAAAATAAATAGTAAATTATGTACATTTAATGTTATACATATATATACCAACCATGAGTACCTAAAAACATGCATGACGATGTATCAAGTTATATAATTTTTATATTTTTTAGTTTAATGTAAACTTTTAAATATGTGTAAATGTTAAAAAAAACACTACTAGTTCTATAAAGTAAATGTTTTTTGAGAATAACATAACATAAATTCAAATTAACTTGCATGTTTTAAAAAATGTAAGACGAGCAAGACACACACTTTTTAAAGTGTTGCATTTGCGGGGGCATATTCTAAGATAAGAGAACATTTTCTGACCAAACAATTAGGCCAGGGTTTTTCACAGCGTGAGACTGGCCAGTTTCTATAGTAATTGTGATATCTAATAGGACAGGATGGTCAAATCTGCATCCTTTTAGCACGCCTAACACTTTATTCTCGGATGTGTCCTACAGCAGAACGTTGAAGATTTTATGTTAAAAAGAAAGCTTTGGAATGTGTATTCTTTAATGTGGATTAACTTTTATAGCAATGTCCAGACATTTCACATACGGATCGAAATGTAAGTACTATATTTACCTCAAATAACATGTATTTCAGAATGCAAAGTTTGTTTCATGCGATCTTTATCATGTTTATATTTTTCTAGCTTGCTTTAGTTCTAAATTAAATATGTAACTAGATAAGTCGCTAATCACTGTATCCTCTCTGCATAAAACTTATAAAATAAAATGTATCATTGATCTATGTCAATTAATATTACCTTATATAATTAGAATCTAATTTGTAAATTTTATTTTTGATTATCTTTGAATTTTTGCTTGGGTCACTTTCGTTTCATAAATTTCTCTTATATTTTTACCATTAAGAAAACAAATTTTGGAATTGTTACTTTGTGTTTCACATGTTTCAGGGAAATCAAATCTCTTATGATATAAAGTTCTCATTTTATTTAATTAGTGGAAATAACTTGGTGAATGAAGAGGAGTGTATTTGCTGCCATGTTTTAAAAAATTGTATTGGAAGGCAAATAAAGATATCCAGCTTTTTCAAAGATGATAAGGATTTAAAAAGTAAGTAAGAAAATACGTGCTCTGTTCCCCTTACAAATGCTATACTTATACCTTAAAATAAATGCTGAAAAAAATTATGAATAATACATCTAAATAAAAATTTCGAATACACAGATTTAATTAAAAAAAAAAAACTATAAACTTGCAATTGTGTAAATTAAGTACTGCTTAAATTTAATTTTCATAATTTTCTCTTTTGAGATTTGCTTAATAAAATGGATTTTATTTTAAGGAGCTGCTCGGACTAACCGCTTGTATGCTGAATCAATTTCTATGGAATTTCAATGAGTAGGACGATGAAGGAAAAATAAAAACAAGCAGGAAAAGAAAAAAGAAAATGCGTTCAAAAATACAATGGAGGACAGCGATTGGTTATAAACCTGTTAACAAAAAGTGTACAAGTTAAATGTGTGGAAAACTTTTAAAATTTAGTTTACTTGATACAAATTTCAATCTAAATCAGAGGCAAAATATTTATTGTTTTAACTGTATTAAAACACATTTGTTATTTTATACTTTCATTTACTTTTCTTGTATAGAAACAATAAATTTAATCACTGCTAATTTATTTGTTATGATGAATTGTAAAAAGTTTAACAAGCCTTGTAAATTTATTTTAGCTAACTTGTATTTATTAAGTAGGATTGGTGGTAGATTTTTTTTTATTTTAGAAACGATCGGATATGTTAATATACAAGCTTGTAACAATTAAATCTTTATACACATTGGGCCAATGTTGGTCCAGTATATCGGGCCAACATTGGGCCAATGAGCAAAATGACATTGGGCCAACGTCATTTGCCAACATCGGCCCAATGTTCTTGATGACGTTGGGCCAACATTGGCCCAATGTCGCATTCATTGGCCCAATGTTGGCGCAACGTTGGGCCAATATCTGCAGAAATAACACTCTACATAGGGCCAACGTTGGCCCAACATATCGGGCCAACATTGGGCCGATGGCAAACTTACGTTGGGCCAATGTCATTTGCCAACATTGGCCCAATGTAACCGATGACATTGGCCCAACGTTGGCCCAATGTTAGCATGCTATCTGGGATATTGAAATCAATGCTGCAGTTGATGAAACGGGAGTTGGTCAGGAAACCGCTTTGTGTGGATGTAAAAATAGCAGAGAGAGTTGAGTTGCTTCGAATGTTAAAAAAGCAAAGGAAGATTAGTTGCGTACGAAGTCGGATGGTAATGACTGAGGGACGATATCTGTATCAGTTGATGGAGTGTGGCTGTGCCGATTTCTCTCCGTGCTCCAGATAGGCTGTTTACGGAAATGCAGTTCTCGGCCTCGCTGATTGTGGACATAGTTACACTAACGACTTGCTTTTATCCGAAGATAATTAATTGTTTATTTTGTTTGTAAAAGGATAAATCATACCTAATTACTTAGTAAACAATTAAACAAACAATCTATTTTTTTTATCTTTAGTGTATTTATACGCTTCTCGTATACACGCATGTTGGCATTTCCCTAATTAAAAAAAACTATAGTAAACTATAGTTTACAATATTATTAAATGTGTCAAAATTTTCGCAAAAGATTTTACAAAGTGTCAAAGTTTTCGATAACGTTTTTCAAAGTATCAAAGTTTTCGCCAAAGTTTTTCAAAGTGTCAAAGTTTTCGATAAAGTTTTTCAAAGTGTCAATGTTTTCATCAAAGTTTTTAAAGGGTCAAAGTTTTCGTTAAAGTTCTGCAAAGTGTCAAATTCTTCAATGAACTTTTTCAAAGTTTCAAAGTTTTCGATAAAGTTTGTCAAAAAGATCACTATAGTTAACCAAAGTTTTCACAGTGTCAAAGGTATACAAAAGTAAAATATAGTCAACTATAGTATTTTTGTTAGGGTTGACCTTTCATTAGTATTTCAATAGAGAACTGTACATACATAATTAACAACATTTACTTTTGTAGTGTTTATCATCAAGAAAACAAATGGAAATGGAAATATTACTCCTTTGAAGTATTCGGGACAAATATTTAACAATTCAATATAAAGTGCATTGGTCTATACTGATCACAATTCTGCTGAAACCAAACTTATTAACCCAAATAATTATTAACCCAAACTATACGATCACGATGAATTTAAATAAACAAATTTTGAAACAAATAAAATTTTTGATTGAGAGAGAGAGAGAGAGAGAGAGAGAGAAAGAGAGAGAGAGAGAGAAATTTCATTATCTCCTCTCACAACAGTATTTAGTATTTTAAGCAAGGAAAAATAAATAAATAAAATGAATAAATAAAGAAGGCTAAAATATATCCAAAGAATCTTGTTTTATTTTCACCTTTCACTTTTCCTTTAATAATTTGTTTATGATATTAATAGAAATAAATATATCCCTCATTCCAGCTAACTGGCCTCCATACCGTTTTCGCCAGTTTTACTTAGACGTATCAAATTCATCGGCACAAAACTCAACACAGCGAGTGCGATGTTACACAGATAACTCAACCCTAGCCACGCCCTCTCCCGTGATTGACATCCCTTGTAAACAGACGGCGAGATACGTCATTGTAGAGACTAAATACAAAGCACCAGAAGATACAGATTCTACAGGACCTATCTTAGAGATATGTGAAATTGAAGTGATTGGTAATTCATGAAAGTTTTCTTTTTAATTTTGTTTCAATAAGGAATACTAGTATATGTGCCTGTTCAACCTTTGTTATTTTCACCTGTCATTTCTCTCTTTCCAATGTCATTTCACTCCATAACAGAGGTCATTTCATCCCATCAGTATTTATTTAGACTTAAAAATTGGTAGAACTCTAAAATTATTTAATGACGAGAGTCACGCGGAATTGTACCGATAAGCACATGACGATGAACAAGAACACTTTAACACAGATATTGTAAGAACATCAAAATAGAGGTCAACACAATTCATTTCAAAAAACCTTGTACCAATTTCATTTTTGATTGAAAATCAGTCACTGCATATGCTCAAGCATCAGCATAATAACTATATGCACTGGCTCTCAATTCCTAAACAAATGTTCCCGTTATGTTTGAAACACAGCTTGTGAAAGCTATCTCACACAACACAAAAATTCTTTAACCACTTCTTTTCAAACTTTAGTGGAAGCTTTATAACTAGTATGTTATTTTAAGTTTAAATTTAATATTTTTAAAAACAAGTTTAGAAAAAATTAACAATCTTTTGATGTGTAGAAAAAAAATCTGTATTTTTTTAAAAAAGTTTTGCCGTGCTCCGTACATTAACTTAAGAGGCAATATAAAAACATTAATATTTTAAAAGGAATAAATTAATATCAAAAAAACATCAAAATTCTGCTTGAATCTTACAGATTCACGGTTTGATTTCAGAATTATCCATGGCAATGAAATCAAAATGTTTTTCCCACTCTTGGGTAATGCTTATTGTAGTGGCAATGTATTGCAATGTATTACATGAATTCAAAGTAATGCTAGTAACGTGCAAAGCCCAAAAATTTGCATTACATATATATGAAACGGTGATGTAATGGAGTCCAGTCAAACTGTCATAAACCTTAAACAAACTGCAACAGAATTCTTTTCTTTATTTTTATTTTTAATTAGTAAATTGTATTCTAATTAACATATAAACACTCTAGAAAAATATATAAAGCTTAAGGTGAAAGATGTTCTAGAGTTTTGATAAATTAAAAGGCACATTATAAATATAACCAAATTCAACTGTAATGATTTCTGTTGCAATTTGATTGAAGTTTGGTGTTTTTGAGCTAGATTTACTGGACTAATGCATTACTTGATAAAATCCAGTGTAATGCCAGCATTACATATCATAACAAAGCATTATTTATTAAAAAAAAGAAATTATAATGGACATTGATGATGAAAACTATTGTTGTATTATAATTATTTATTTTTTTTTTCTTATTTTCTGCAAATGATATAATTGAATAAAACTGTTAAAACAGTATGACATTTAACTTTAGACATGACATACAGCGCCATAGCAAAAGCATTCGCGATTTTTCAAAATGGCGGCCGTAAACAAGGACGCGCATAACAAAATAAAACTATTTTAAAAGCATGAAAAACTGACTTACTGTTTTCAACATTTTGCGAGTTGACCTTTGGATCTTATTACTGCCTGGATCCGACGGGGAATCGATAGGTATAGGTTCTTACATACGCAAGGGCGATGTTTTGCCAGATGTAAAGTTTTGTATTAAAAAGTTCGTCCTTGGTTTTGATGTCTCGGGCCGTGTTTTGAAGTGAACGTGTTATTTTCAACCAATTTTTTTCAATTATATTAATGTCCGGGGGACTGTGCCGGCCATGTGATGGAAAGAATGCTGTTGTTTGTCTTATATTCACACGTAATCTTGGCTCTGTGCACGGGTGCATTGTCATCTTGAAATAGGTAAGTTTTATTGGGAAAATGCCTCGCTATAATTGGCCACAAATGTTCGTTGAGTATATCTATATACTTTTGAGCAGTTATGTTGCCATTAACAAGACACAAAGTCCCTTCACCATCGTAAGTAATACATCCCCATACCATAACTGCAACTCGACATTTACGGGGAGGGCACATGCATTGGGATAGGTTCGCCTCATTTGCTCATCTCCAGACATAAACCCTCTGATTATCTCCAATTACAACTTGACTTGCGTCAGAAAATATGACATTTTGCCAATATTGTTCCACTGTCAGTCGTCGTTTACCCAAACATCAAGATAATCGCTTTTTCCGATTAACTTCACGAACAACCATTCGTTTTCTCACAACTTTTCTTTGATAGCCTTTCTAAGAAATCTCTGGACTGTACATTTACTTACAGTTTCTGTAGGACATTTTCCTTCATTTAAATCTAACATAACATTATTTAGGGTCCTGTGCCTGTTGCTTTTGACCGTCCGCATAACCAGTTTTTATCTCTGTGTGACAACTTTCGAGGTCTTCATGTTCGAGGTAAATTTTTCACAGTTCCCCGTTTAATAAATCTATTCCAAACATATCTCACGGTAGACTCACTAATATTCAACACACGAACTATTTCTGAAGTTTTGTGTTTCTCACTTTTCAAAGTTACGAAGATTTTTTGTTTCAGCACTCAACTCAGAGGGTTTTCGACCCATGCTTAAATTCTGCTTGTTTACATTCACTACGGAAGTGCAGACGATAATTTAATATAAAATTACGTCATTTCCTACATAAAGATAACTCCGTAAAAAAAATAAACAGATATCTCTTATTTTCCATAGAGTTATCTTTCTTTTCCTACTCGAGACGCGAAAATGAGCCGTCGCCATTTTTAAAAATCGCGGATACTTTTGCTATGGCGCTGTAGTCCACACTTTTTATTACCATTTCTAATTATGATATCCAATATATTTTCATATCAAGTGGAGATATTTCTAAACAGAATTCCAGGTCTAATATTGAACTCGCAAACATTTCCACTTCTAAAGATATGAAATCCTAAAACTCAGAATCCCATGGGAGAATGGTGGGATTTTCAGTCCCACCAACTATCTTACGTTTCTCACACGGGAGAAAAAATATCAGATGGGATGTTTTCTCTTATTATACCTCTACTGTAATTACTCTATATAAATTTATTGTACCTCTTCCGTAATTACACTATATAAAATTAATACCATAAAACTGTCTATTTTTCCGAGAAGAGACTACTGCCTTCAAATGATGATTATTCCCTGCAAAATCAGAGCTACTCCCTCGTGAATATTTATTAGTAATTTTAACTAATCAAAGTTTTCAGAAAGCGGAGCGTTCATTTAACCAATCAAAGTGTTCAGTAAGCGGTGCGTTCAATGAATCTCGAGTCTATGACGTCATGTAATTACAGCAATGTAACAACGACGTCAAAACATTTCGACATGCGATTGAATTCTAGAAAAATGAAGACAACGACAATTCCTCGAAATTTCAGTGAAAATACTTTTTAATTTTTTTTTAATTGTTTAAGGATTCGATGCATTACTTATCATACAATGTGTTAAACTACGTGCATTTGTTATTATGCCTGTACAGTTTTTTTAAATGTCGGAATACATGTATCTGGTAAAAAAAAATAAATCGCCTATGATTGATTCGGTATAATACAACAGTTATGGAATGGGAACTTAAAATTGCAAATTTATGGTTCCCCTCATCAGGAACTTATTTCCCTTAGTTTCCTTCCTCGGGGAACCATGAATTTACTATTTTCCTCGTACCCATTCCATAACTGTATATTTAGTGGATTTTTTTCTCCCATGAATTTGTTCAAATGGCATAAATATGCATACCAGGTCTAGCTCTAGACATTATGTAATTTTATTTTATCTTCTACGGATTGGTAGGCCATCAAATTACACACACATACACACTCTACTGATTTCAAGAACATTGCTCCAGAATAAAGGAATGACACTTTACAGACGACTCGGAGAATGCTGATTACATAAAAATCTTCTGCGTATTATATTGCTATATTTGAAGATTAATAATTTTAAAACACTTTCATTTATAGCCCCACTGAAAGTGACACTGCGATAGATCTTTTCTTTAATCAATCCACTATTAAAATAAAAATTAAAAAAACACCCAACGAAAATATAAATTAATATTGAATATCATGAATAGCACACTGGGTTTTTTATCTTGCATTGTCGTATCAATATATCACATACAGTAATTTATATCGAAAGTCCTGGATCTAAATAGAATGAACACATTTAAAAAAAATTATTCAAGAATTAGTAAACGCTATTTGAAAATTGCTTTGACGATTGTTATAATTATTTAGATGCATGAGAGTATATTTTTCTTCAGAAAAATTAATTTTCATTTTGTACTTTAAATATTTCAACGACTATAAATTTTAAAATATCATTAATTTCGTTTTATATTGTTTTGGTTGATATTTTCAAAGGGAGGTAACTCGCGTTTTAGACCAAGACTGTTTTTTCACCTGTAATCGGTAAGATGCACCGCGACGGTGTGATTTACCTGGATTACTGAACCGCGGGGGCACGCGGTTTTTTCCTGAGACACCTGTACTAACCGCGATGAAATTCACACCGCGGGGGTGCGCGGTAAATGCATAAACCGCGTTGACTGTACTGTATATATATATATATATATATATATATATATATATATATATATATATATATATATATATATATATATATATATATATATATATATATATATATATATTTCATCATTTTTTTTTCCAAGGTTGTGATGTAGGTCATTATGGTGAAAATTGTCTGTCTTGTCAAGGTTGCTCAACATGTGACATCAATAGTGGCGAATGCGGTATGGAAAATACATTTACTGCAAATTTGCTGTTTCAGCAATGAAAATATATAATCTATTATAATAACTGTTACTTTAGAAATGCAACATGCAAAATTAAGTATCGCATTTACTCTGAGGATTTGTTTAAGAAATAAAGTCCGCGTTTTCGTGAATGTTGCAGAATAACCTCCGAGGTCAAGAAATGTTGTTTGAAAGATAAAAGCCGAGGCGCTAGCCGAGGCTTTTATATTTCAAACAACATTTCGAGACCGAGGAGGTTATTCTGCATCATTCACGACAACAAGGACGTTATTTCTATTCTGCAAAGATCGATAAATACTGCTGATCGTTTCCTCTATAGAGAAACGATTTAGGTCACCATGTCTCGATTTCGCTGTTCCATTTAACACCAGAGGTAAAATTTTTGTTGCTTACCTGTGTATAGAATGCAGACGATTTGAGCTTTCATTACATTAAAAATAGCCTTTTCAGATTATAAATTTGTTCGTTATATGTATTGATCAGTTAGAATGAATATACAATAACAAAATCATTTTCCTGTTTTACTGCTAAAATCACGTTGTTTAATGTGTAGGGACGTCCGTGGAATAGCCCCGCTTAGCTATAAAAAGCGACATTCATCAGCGACTTGATGCAATTTACAGTGTTTATACTGCAAAAGACAACACATCGATGCGGTCTAAACAAGTACTAGTATTTCATTCTACAGCCAAACATGCATTTGAATTGTTCAGATTTGATACGTGTTTCTGATCTGATAATTTTTTGATGACGTTCGTGATTTATTGGAGAATAATGTCCGGCGGTTTCCTTTGAAGTTTTCAATAATCGTGGTAGAATTTTTTATTTAAGTTGATGAATCTCTTGTTATTATTGCTGTTGTTGTTGTATTCGTAAACTATACCAGTTCTTCAGTGCCTTTTTAAATGAAATAAAAACCTCAGCAATTCATATTTTGTATACATCAGAGGCTGAATCGAATCTTACATTAATTTTACTGTAAAAATCTTTTAGACATCATGGTCTTTATATTTGTGCCTTATAACACATTAATTTGTAACCATCAATTTTTACATAATTTATTGTTAATGTGAGGAAAAATACTGCTATACAATAGCTCACCTGTATGGACAATTACATAAATATAACTAGCAATAAAATTGTTCATCAATCAAATTTTAGACAAAATTATTATTTTTATGTTTTTTTAGAGACAAAATCTTATCCTTTTTACAGTCATTGGCACGAATATTATTATTTTTAGCTCAACTGAATTGAAAACTCAAGTGACCTTTTCTGATCAAAAGTTGTTGTCCGTTGTCTGTCGTCGCCGTTGTTATTGTTGTCGTCGTTGTTGTAAGCTTTCACATGTTCATCTTCTTAAGAACCAGATGGCCAATTTTAATAGAACTTGCCATATGGTAGCCTTGGGTGAAGGGAATTTACGTTTCTTTAAATGAAGGGCCATGCCATATTCGAAGACAATAATTATGAATTAATGATAAATTAATGCTATCTTTTAAAACTTTTGTTTTCAAGAACCACTGGGCCAGGCAGAATGAAACTCGTGTAGAAATATCCTTTTGTAATGAACATTCAATTCTGTTTTAATCAAAACCCGCGACGGTAAGGTTGGGCTACAATGGGGTTTCAAAGTTTAACATAGATATACATGAGGAAAAATCTGTCATTGGTCAAAGTTATATGAAATCATTCTCTAAAAGTGTAGATTCATGTTTGTTCAAATCATGATTCTTGGGGTGGGGGCACAAAGAGAGATAAAAGTTTAATATAGGTATACATAGGGAATTTTTCTTTAAGAACTTCTTCTCAAGAACAGCAAAGCCATGACTGATCATATTTATATGGAAGCATCCTCTGGTAGTGAGATTCAATATTATTCAAATCATGACCCCTGGTGCAAAAGTGGGGTCATTGTGGTAAATCAAAGTAGGATTACATATTATAATTTTTTTTCTTATTCTTCTTCTTTAGAACAGCAAAGCTGTGATTTATCATAGTTATATGGAAGGATATATGGAAGAGTGGGTCAAAAATTGGGCACATCAGAGATTTACATAGGAATAAAAATCGTTAAAATTCTCCTCAAAGCCATGATTGATAATCAATTTAAAAACATCATTAATGTGGATCATAACAATTATCAACACAGCCATAACATATGCATGTATGTGTCATATTATTTCAAAAGCATTCCTAGGAAGTGTATATTTAGGTTTGTTCAACATCCCCCTCCTCCCTCGAACCCACTTTTCAAGACTGAACTGATTTTTAGGTCACCCGAGTAAACTCAGGTGACCTATTGCTATCTGTTTTCGTCCGTCGTCGTGCGGTGTGCGTCGTGCGTCGTTCGTTGTGTGTTAACATTTGAACATTTTTAGCTTCTTCTCTGCAACCACTCGACCAATTTCAATCAAATTTGGTATAAAGCATTTATTGGTAAAGGGGGACAAAAATTGGGAATTTCATGGTCCCTGCCCCTCTGGAGCTGGAGGGGTGGGGCCAAAACCACTAAAATAAATGCAATCTTTAAAAATCTTCTTCTCTACTCCTGGACATCAAACAGTCAAACTGTTAGCATGAATGTAATTACTATTGAGTCCTCTACCAAACTTGTGAAATTCATGGCCCCAGCGTCAGGGGTTCTAGTGCTAGGGTGGGGCTCTATTGATAATATAGTAAAAATGCATTATTTATTAAAAAATCTTCTTCTCTGCTTCTGGGTAGTAAATAAACTAACTAAACACACAGTTATGATGAGCAAGAGTGCCTCTTTCAAAATTGTGAATTTGATGGCCCCAGGGTCAGGGGTTCTGGTGTTAGGGCGGGGCTATATTAATTATATAGTGAAAATACATTACATCTTTGAAAATCTTTTTCTCTGCTCCTGGGTATTAATTCAACTAAGTAAGTACATGTACATAGTTATAATGAGCAAGAATGCCTCTTTCAAAATTGTAAATTTTTTTGGCCCATGGTCAGGGCCATGGTTCTTAGGTTAGGGCGGGGCTCTATTGATTATATAGTGAAAATATTTTACATCTTTGAAAATCTTCTTCTCTGCTCCTCGGTAAATAAACTAACTAATTACATAGTTATGATGAGCAAGAATACCTCTTTCAAAATTGTGAATTTTATGGCCCCAGGGGTTCTGGTGGTTCTGGTTCAGGGGTTCTGGTGCTAGGGTGGGGCTCTATTCATAATATAATGAAAATACATTACGTCTCTTTGAAAATCTTCTTCTCTGCTCATTGATATTAAGCAGATGAATATCTATGTATATCTATATAGCCTAATGATGAGCAAGGGCCATTCTTCCTGAATTGTGAATTTCAAGGCCCCTGGGTCAGGGGTACTAAAGGTGGGGGGGGGGTGTGTGCTCTTCTTATATACTGAAAATGAATTAAGTGATTGAAACCTGCTCCTTGGTATTAATCAAACATTTTTGATAAGCAAGAATGCATTTTCCAAAATTGTGAAATGCGTGGACCAAGGGTCAGGGGTTTTTGTGTGGTAGTAGCACTACTGATTAATAGAAATGCATTTTTTTTTGTTCTCCTACTCTGTCTATAGGTATTAAGTAACCAAAGAAACTATGCTAAATGTATAGTTAAGATAAGTAATGGTGCATTGTGAATGCCATGACATCTACTTTAAAACATGAACCAAATATAATCGCTGGAAAAATGTTGTATGATGCTCAGGTGACCTATAAGGCCCGTGGGCCTCTTATTTCTTTACTTAGCTACATTCAAGTTGGTTGATAAGGTTAGCTATGTGGCGCCTGAATATAATAATGAGCAAAATGGACCTAAAAATATGTTTTGTTTCAGAAAATTAGTTTTAATACTTACAATTAAAATAGTTCTTAATTTTTTAAAAATGTATTTAAGATATCCAGTGCAGCATTACTTGCACTAGGGGACTATGTGACGACAGTGGGCTATGTGTCCAAGGATGTATCAGTGGTTACTGGGGAAGCAACTGTATGAACCGTTGTCCAGTAAATTGTTTTGATAACAACTGCCACAATAATGGTTCCTGTATTGGCTGCTCAAGTGGTTCTTATGGAGATTATTGTACCAAGAAATGTAACAACAGATGCAATTCAAAAGTATGCAACCAAAATACGGGAGATTGTGCTGATACCTGTGTTGTTGGATATTATGGATCAAAATGTGAATCTCCTTGCAGCACCAACTGTTCCTCTGAATCCTGCAGAAAAGATGACGGGGCATGTTTAAATGGGTGTAAAAATAGTTTCTTCGGTTCTCGATGCGAACACTTGTGTAATCAACAGTGTACAAATACATCATGTGATGTTTTCAGTGGACACTGTGTTGGAGGTTGCAATGAAGGATTTTATGGGGCATTTTGCAACCTGACCTGTAGTTCTACGTGTGCGACTTCTAAATGTAATCAGTTGGATGGCGTGTGCAACGACGGGTGCTTACCACACTGGAGTGGAAAAACTTGTGAAGGTAAAAGTTTTATTTAAATGAATTATTTTGATGAAAATCAAAAAGATAACGAACCATAAATAATGCAACTCTGGGAAGCAGGGAAAAAATTTTGGGAATTTCTAAAGTCGGGATCGAATGCCTAAGAGGAGAAAGCATCGCCGAATCCTGTTGACCGGTGTCTCTTGTATTTGTTTAGAGGACCGATAAATAATTAGTATCATAAACGTTGTAACAATAATCCGTTTTCAATTAAATGTTTCACCAGAAAAATTTGTTATCAGACTATTAAAATCATTTGATTATGATTTCAATTAAAAGCAGCTGAATTTAAGGATAAAGTGTATGGGGTTTTTTTTCATAGGAAAATATAAATATATTCAAAACAAAACTGAAAAAAATTGAAAACCATTTCAGTATATATAGTGATGATGTTAGATTCTTTGTTACTTTCTTTTTTTATCTTTTATCCTGCGTACACAACGCCTAATGTTTAAAATAAAGCACAATTCCTATTTAAAACATTCGCATTTCTTAATTCTTAACTGATTAATAATTTATCATATGTAAAAGTCCACATGCTATTAGATTATAAAATATATATAACAAATCCATGTGTGCAAGAAAGATTTCCTTCATATGTATGCCCTGCTTATACGAGGGTTGTTCGAAAAGTTCGTGGACAACTGTCTTATCTTTTTTATTTGACGTCATATGTTATCCAAATTTGGGAAAAATATATTTTTCAATAAATCCAAATGATATTTATTAATTTTGACAAAATATTACGATTGATTTAAAACTTATCCAGATTTTAAAAATGCAAAAATCTGATCACGGAGCAGGTTAAAATTTAGTCAGTTACAGAGAATACAGTAAATAATGTCTATAGTCACATTCTCTGTAAAATGGTGGAAAAACGAAAAACTACCTAGAAATTCAATTTAAGAATTGTTACAACGATATGTGTACCAAATTATGGTTTTATATTTTGCTTTGTTGAAAAGAAATCAACTTGAGAGGGTAGGTAGTCCTCATTGAAAATGATGAAAACGATGACATTTTAGAACGTCACAGAGCAGCAGATACCGAAGCAATTTTGTGTTTTTCTAAGGAAAAATCCCGATTAAACTCCAAAAATGTTGAAGGAATCAAGAAAATATGTCACAAGCGAGTTGTGCATGTGTGTTCAAATAGAACAGGCAATATTTGAGTGACAGAGACTCTGTATCGGAAGAGGATGACCAGCGAAGAATCATTTTTACTGTTAACATCTGAACAAAACTTTAAAATTTGAAACGTAAATGAAAGACAAAGGCGCTTCAGAGTTGCTTATCCTGTGAAAGCAGAGTAAAGTACATTTGTACTAAAAGAAATTAAAACCTTAACAAAGAAGATTATACAGTGAGATCATTTCTTAAAAAAATAAATGTCAAGTATTAGAAAAAGAATTAAATGAATGGGCATTGGAATATTCTGTGTGAAATGTATAGGTATAGTATCTATTATAAATTCTCGACGCTATGTGTTGACGCTACATTGCCGTTTTGTGTGCTCCGCGGGTTCAAAACATGTTGATGTTAAAATGAAGTAAATTTATTTGTGTTAAATCGAATGGAATGAAACTTCACACATCAAGAAAAAAAATATTTTTTTCATATAATAATGAGCTTGTTTTAAATTTCCAGTGAGTAATATAACGAAGATGGACATCGTCCACGAACTTTTCGAACAACCCTCGTATTATTATCCATGCAATTTCTTTTTTTATTGTAGCTAATCAGCAATTATTTGAGAACAACACGAAGACTGAAGTGTATTCGGCTTTGTATGTTGTGGTAGCGATTCTGTTAATAAGTATTTTTCTCAACATATTTCTCATTGTAAGGTAAGAATATAATTTATTAATTTTCTCAAAATGATTTTTTTTAACAAACAATGAAGAAAAAATGCTTGACTGTATAAATGGAATAATGAGCACTATATTTTACAATACATTAATTTTTTTCTTGATTTTAAATACATTTATCTACCATTCATTTAGACAGTTTTGATATTTTTTTATGTTACAGGAATGCTCGAAAAAACATTAATAAAAGACAGAAGACAGAACATTTAAAAGAAACTTGCCATGTTGATCAAAACAAAGACGCAAACAAAGCAGTTTATGACAGTGTAGAAGATAACGCAGGCTACCACGAACTAGGTGAACTAAGTCAACCCTCTAATTATGATCAACTCAAGTGAATGTAGGGAACTAAGTCAACCCTCTCATTATTATCAACTCAAGTGAATGTTGATCTAGTTTTGTAGATCTTCTGAACCGAGCTTCGAGACTGCTACTGGTTCTGACACACCAAAAAAATATATGATAGTAACATTGACAAGAATATTAAAGAAGTTTTTTTTTTTAATTGCAATTATTATGCAATTTATTGCATATTACTTAATGTATAGATACATGTATATGAAACAATTCGGCATATGCTTATTTTAGGTGTTTAGTACATGTATGCATAGTGAGGAATCTGTGCTTACCAGGTATTTTCAATCAATGTAAGAAATAACACCAAATCAAGATAAAAAATTTATAGATATGCTTTCATTTTACTAGATTCTGAAGATAGACGTTCGGAATTATTTGCAGGATTCTTATTCTTTTTTCTCAACTAAAATTCTAGGAAAAAAAATTTAATGTTCAATATCCTGACGTTTTATTGTACGCTGAGTTTGTACATGTATTACGTATATGACTATACCCGAAACATTTTGTATATTGGCGTTCAATATCGAACGCTCCGTTGTAAACAAATGAATGTCCTCTGGTCAACTCTCAGAGGCAATCTTACGATAGGTTGTGGCAGCTAAATTGTGTTTATTTTCACACAAAATTGAAATTATCAATTGATTATATAGTACATATTTAGTACATAATAGCCTCTATAAAACAACAATAAGCAAAAGTATAACGCTTGGTTGGGTCATTGGAATAATGCAATATTGAACACTTGCAGGGTAGGCGTTTAAACTAAAACATTTTTTTTTGAATATTTTAAAATAAATTAAAAAATATACAGATCAATGGATTTATAATAAAGGAGTTATTGAACTTTTTATTGTTGAATATTGGCATTCGTTGGCCGTACAAATAAACTGGCAAGCTCGTACCGTATATAATGTATTCCTATAGCTACTATACGATATATGCTATAGGCATGGGTATCAAGATAATAAAATACAAAGTTCACTTGAGCACGATGATTTGTTGAAGATTTGTTTAATACTCGACCACTAGTACCGATAATTAATTGCTGTAAATCATGCTTCATATACTTCATTTGAATAAAAGAATTACACAAAAATTTTCAAATGTTTAATCCAAAATTACTTCAGAATTTTTGTGTACAGATAAACTTGTAAAAAAATAAATTGATAAATCATGACGAAATTGTATTTTCTCTGTACATTACATGTAAAGTTCTTCAAACTTACGGCTTAAAGAGACCATGTTGAGGGGGAAATGCTCAACAGCTTTACATTCTTTAACTACTTATTTCTTGACCTCTGATCAGTGTATTTTGCAAACATGTATCTTTTTTCTCAAGAACCTTTATACTATATATTCGAGAAAAGTTGTAATCAATACTTTCAATGATCCGTACATGTATTTATTCATGGACAAAAAGTAAATATTTTAGAGGTACTAGAATATCAATTTACAGTTCAGCTTACCTATTTTTTTTTTATTTCCAAACATTATCTTTTATTAGAAGTAATCTTTTTTGCTGTCTTATCAGAAACCAGACTTGAATTTGTTGCGCAGTTTATCCGAAAAAAGTGTTGTTCCTAGAAACTTTGATAAATTCTATGATTTTTATATAAGAAATCACAAATGTCATAGATATGTATTTCAGTTTCTTTTATGTAGGTTCAATTCTTTCAGACACTGGTAACAAAAAGTGCTGTTATGAAAAGAAGAAAAAAAAAAGAAAATGAAGTGGAATTTTAAGAATGTGTTTCTTTTACATGGTTAGATAAAGCCTTCAAGGAAAACGATTTTTGGCTGGTAAAATCATCAAATTACGCTCATAATCATACAATTAATTGTGTATTATGCCGACTCATGCAAATTAAACGTTTTAAATCTTGTTGTACAGAATAATTTCAAAAGTGCACAGTAATCATACTTGAGGTACAAATGCTTACTTATTTCGAAGAATTTGAAGAAAAAAAGATTAAAATACCTTTTAACTGGAACAATTAAGCTGCACTGAATCATAGCTTGGCTAAATGTATTATTGGCAAATTTTGTAGCAGTGGCGCCTACAATTTTTGATTGTAGCCTAAAATATCTGTATAAGTTTCCAAAATGGCGACCATTTCAAATTAATTTGGCAAAAGTCAAATTCCGAAATAATCAACATTTCTTCGTTCTTTACCTAAGGGGGAGAAAAGAAGTTTAATGTTAACATTGTGTCTTCTTTGCCATCTTGATTGTTTTTCGAATTTGCAGTCACACACGTTTAAACTATATTTCGTACCGAGTCAGTGCACTCATATCGAGCTCATAAAACGAGCTCGAAGGAACCCCAGCTAATTGTTTGATTCAGAACATCGACATTTGTGAAACAGTTAATTGGGCTGGCGATGTAGTGAATCAATTGTACATGTATATCAACTTAAGAGATCATCTGCCATCGATTATAAAATAATCACATTCACTTAGTATCTCCAATTCAAAGAAATCTATTGAAAAAATTGATTCGTCTGGATAAAAAAAACACATTGCAAAATAACATTAAATCATCTCAACAACTCATTGTTATTTCCCCCATTTAGCTTTGAAATGGCTTCGGATGTTTCAAACGTACATGTATTTGACTCTAAATCCAAATATTCCTCCACTCTATCACCCTTCTTCTAGAACGCAATTTTTTTTTCGCGTGGACCTTCCTGCATCACCTGTAGCTGGAACAGTCAGATCCAGACGAAATGGACCAGGAGTGTCTTTCAAGCATAGACCAGGAGATTCCTTTAAAGATACTTTTTATTTAGTTTTAAATGATCCTGACAGAACATAAAATTTGGGATCACTGGAGTTCTTCTCTTCTCCACGTGGACGTGTACTACTTTCTGATATGTACAAATGGTATTCGATGAATTCATTGATGAGAGCACTATAGTGCAGCTAAAAGGATTTAGCTAATAGATGACAAATATGTACTGTTTCAAAGCTTAACAAAAAATATCTATGTTAAAACTATAAAAACTTTAATTAAGTGGTAAGATGGGGAACTATTGTCATAACTAACTGTATATTAAAAATGCATAACCCGTGTAGCTGCAACATAATTACCCATGTTAGATGTAACACACAAGTTAAGATATGTACGAGTATATCTGTACACATCATTTGAAGTAGTATCAAGTTTTAAGTTTTTTTAATAACTATAATATTATTGATGCGTGCGCTATGTACGTTTTATTGATGGAAGAGCCACTGTCCAAGAAATCTGTACTTCTAGAAATAGAGGAGGAAGTTATTCAAATGTATACAGATAGAATTCTGAACTTGGGCTTCATAGTAAAGAAGGACATCTCACTAAGCAATTTTATTTATTTATTATTTATTTATTACATTTGAATTGCTTAAATCAAAATTGTTTCTGAAACTTCTAATAATCAATAATTTAATTTTGATATTTTCTTTCCCCACACAATTACCTTTTTGTAAATACGAATAAAAATATGCATGTTTTTCTTCTTCTGTATTTATTTTATTATCTAAAAAGAAGAATATGTCATACCTACACTGCAGTCAAATCAAAATCAGACCCTTTGATTCGCTCACACGAGATCGCTACACAATCTTTGGGGATTAAGAATTCTGATTTGATTTTAGTCACTTTGAGCTACATTAAGATATAAGTGCACTGAGAATAGAATATGAAAGCTGATTATTTTTCTTACTACGAATTGAAAGAAGGAAGCTGATACGGTTTTACGTAATGAATTTTTATAAGAGCCACACAGATGAATGTACTTTACTTTTTTATTTGATAACTGTCTCCGGTTTCTTCAAGCACTTAAAGCAAATTTAATATCAGACACTTAAAATCGTGTATATTCTATAAAAGATACTTCCATTTTAAACCGTGAGTCACCCCTGCAATGATAAAAAACTGAATAAAGAAAAGAGATTGTTATAAAATTTTATTAGATCATACTAGAGTATTACAAAAAATGTTTCCATGAGAATCTTATTGGCTTTCTCAAGGACAGTCTTTCCTTCTTTTTTTAAAGAAAAAATAATGATATCAGGGATGCTAACAAAATTAATCCACAGATATAAAAATGAGCCCTTACAACTCTTTGCAATTTTACATTTCAATGATAAAGATTACAAGTATTTTTAGGTCACCTGAGTAAACTCAAGTGACCTATTGCTATCCGTTTTCGTCCGTCGTCGTGCGTCGTTCGTCGTGCGTTAACATTTGAACATTTTCAGCTTCTTCTCTGAAAGCACTGAACCAATTTCAACCAATTTTGGCATATAGCATCTATGGGTGAAGGGGAACAAATATTGTGAATGTCATTGTCCCTGCCCCCGTGGGGCCTGGGGGTTGGGCCAAAACCACTGAAATTAGTGCAATCTTTGAAAATCTTCTTCTTTATTCCTGAACATCAAGCAGTCAAACTGTTTGCATGATTGTAATCAGCACTGAGTCCTCTACTGAAATTGTGAAATTCATGGCCCCATGGTTAGGGGTTCTAGTGCTAGGGCGGGACTATATAGATTATATAGTGAAAATGCATTATTTCTTTAAAAATCTTCTTCTCTGCTCCTGGGTATTAAATAAACTAACTAAGTACATAGTTATGATAAGCAAGAGTGCCTCTTCCAGATTTATGAATTTTATGACCCCAGGGTCAGGGGTTCTGGTGCTAGGGTGGGGCTATAGAGATTATATAGTGAAAATGCATTATTTCTTTAAAAATCTTCTTCTTTGGTCCTGGGTATTAAATAAACTACCTAAGTGCATAGTTATGATAAGCAACAGTGCCTCTTTAAAAAAATGTGAATTTCATGGCCCTAGGGTCAAGGGTTCTCGTGTTAGGGCATGGCTCGTTGACTATATAGTGAAAATGCATTATTTCTTTTAAAATCTTCTTCTCTGCTTCTGTGTATTAATTAAAATAATCAAGTACATAGCTATGATGAAAAAGAGTGCCTCTTTTAAAATTGTGCATTTTATGGCCCCAGGGTCAGGGGTTCTTGTGTTACGGCGGGGATCTATTGATTATATGGTAAAAATGCATTTATGCTTTGAAAATCTTCTTCTTTGCTTCTTCCTGGGTATTAAATAAACTAACTAAGTACATAGTTATGATGAGCAAGAGTGCTTCTTCAAAAATTGTGAATTTTGTGACCCCAGGGTCAGGGGCCCTGGTGTTAGCGCGGGGCTCTATAATTATTATATGGTGAAAATGCATTCATTCTTTGAAAATCTTCTTCTCTGCTCCTGGGTAATAAGCAGATGAACTTCTTATATCGATTTGATATGCAAGGGTTTTTCTTCCAGAATTGTGAACTTACAAGCTCCTGGGTCAGGGATACCAGGGAGGCGGGGGGGGGGGGGGGGTAGGGCTCTACTTAATACTGAAAATGAATTGTTTGAAATCTGCTCCTTGGTATTAATCATTTTTGATAAGCAAGTATGCCTTTTCAAAAATTGTGCAATGTGTTGACCTAGTTGCAGGGGTTCATGTGTGGTTTTTGTTCCCCTATCCTGTCCATGGGTATTAAGGAGGCTTGGGGTCAACAAATAAATTAACCACCAGATATAACTTAAATGATATGATATCTTTAGCTGTCAATTATTTCACACAGAAAAATTTCATACATATTAGTTTTAAAATTTAATTATTTTTGTTTATCTTTATATGGAGCTGTTCTTCTAAAGGAGATAGAAATAGTCTAAAAATGGCAACGACCACCCAGTCCTTTTCAGTAACCAAACTAAGTAATTGCAAAGTTCATTGTTATGATTAGCAATGGTGCCAGACTGCTGGCATCTTTCAAAATTGTGAATGCCCTAACATCTACATTAAAACTTGAGCCAAATTCTATCATTTAACAGTTGTTGGATGATTCTCATGTGACCTAAAAGGCCCAAGGGCCTCTTGTTTATCATGGTGTTAACTAGGACAAAATCGTACACTCGTGTACAGTTATCATTATTACGTACTGGAACTTTGGAGACGGAAAATTTTATATTTAATCGAATAGGTTTCTTATAAGTCATTTAGATCAGGCACATAAAAACTCTTATTGCACAAGAGAACCGTGGCTCTTTGTGATGCTTAACTCTTAACAACTTACTGAACTGTTATGCAACATACACTAAATATTAAGGTCAAAGAAAAAGAAATTTACCATTTTCCCTCAAGCACCTTCTAGCGTGGTACACGTTTCTCTAAAGTTTAGCGTAAATAATATTATAACGCAATATTTTAATACAAAAGAACTTTTCTTCTTTGATGTGATTTTTGCAAGTATAAAATAGTAAGATATTGGTATTAAATTAACGATTAAATGAACTTTTTAAAGTGCGTGAAAATGCTTGATTGAGGGGAAACAGTATATGCGTGATTTTGCGTTTGAAATACATGTAAGAAATCGTATATGCGTTAAAATGCTTTACTGCGGGGAAGAGGGTTAACGTTAATTAAACTGATTGCAAATTAAGAATTTAAAAAAAGTATTTATATCAAGGTCATATAAAAACATTCAAAGAAAGTGTTGTACTTTGTCATAATATTTGAAGAAATTGAAGTTCAACATAATTTCATGTATCAAAGCATTTTTAGTAATTTGAGCAGTTTCCTTCTGCGTTTGATCAAATGGGACGGTCATTCGGATGAGATCGAGGCCCCTTGTCACAGCAGGTGTGGCACGATAAAGATCCCTTCCTGCTCAAAGGCCGTGCGTGCCGAGCATAGACCTAGATTTGCAGCCCATCACCGGCAATGGTGACGTCTCCATATCAGTGAAATATTCTGGAGAGGGAGTTAAACAGTACAAAATCAATCAATCAATTAAATGACGCTAACGTTTCATTAAAATTCTATTAAATCTGATAATGACATAAAAATATATATAGTAAATTATTTCATAATGCAATGCATTGTTTGAATGACCTCTTTATATATCTACATACAAGTATACTATCAGCTTTAAATATTTGTTTAGAAAAAGTGTAGTTTTGCTATATTTTTTCTTTATTGTACATTAATTCACAACTCAAGTCTTTATCATCAACAAGATTTATAACCAAAAGAAAACAAGAGTATGGTTTTGAAAGAGAAGGATTTTCATGGTTAACTATGCAATTATATTCTTGCTCAGCTTCCTTAAATGAGTAATTGAAGTAAAGAAACACGATTTGGTACAAACGAATAGCAAATTTCATCTTCATATAGTATAATCGTTTAGAATTTTTAAAAAAATCCATTTGATACAAACAAACAGGAAGATTTTTCTTCAGATTACAAAATTGTTTAAAGTTTTGAGTTTTATAAATATCTCGTCACTTAAATGTTCCACATATTAACAAAACAAATTGAGTCATATTTACTTGAAATCGCCACTATGCCTTCACGATTACTAATATTCATAAGTGCATATACTAAAGATTTTGAGTAGATTCTCACTATACGTATTTTAAGTTGACAGAAATTTTTAGAGGAATGTATTTTTTTTCATAGAGTTTACTTTTGTTTTACTTCCTCCTTTTTTTGAAATGGCTGCCCAGTCGTGGACGTGGTTTATTTTGTTTCCAGCAGTTATTCACTGCTACAGTAAGTTTTTTGAAGATAAAATTTGACAATGGAAATTTATAACAAAAGATGACTTAATTAATATAGATAATTACATTTTTTTTCAAAGATATTATTCGTTTTTCAATAAAGCCCAACATATCTGACGTTTTTTCCAGCTGGGGCCAGTTTCACAAAGCTGTCTTATGATTAAGATCTGTCTTAAGACCGAAAATTATCTTAAGATTGCGCCATAGCTGTTTCACAAAACTATCATATCTTATGATAATCTTAAGGCTTATCATAATCTTAAGACAACTCGATACATGTCTTAAGTCTAAAGTGAAACTGGCGACAGTACATATTTTAGCTAAAAACCGAAGGATATTTAAAGAAAAACGGTTTTTAGTGATAGAACAATTCTTTTTGACTATATTATTATTTGCAGTTGAGGGTGAAGTTTTAAGTTACGTCGTGATCTATTTCATAGCTGCACTCAAGATAAATAGCACACGCCTCCTAACCAACTGGAATTTTCTTCTTATCCCTGATTTGCTCGTGTAACAGTCTATTTCCGTGTCAATGTTGATAATATGAGTTGACCAATCACGTGAATTGTTTATTCTGGATGCATCTGACAAAAAAGATCGTGACGTAATGCAAATCCTCACAGTTAAAAACAAACTATAATATTAGGCCAAAAAAGAACATTACCCCCCCCCCCCTTGCGAAAAATAATTTGCCAGTAAATAAACGATAGAAAACCTAAAATGTAACTACTTAATGTTTTTCCATTTTATTCATCTAAATGTATTTTTTGTTTTTGCTTTCTTCCCCTTCCAACCGAAATTGAATCCCCACCACAAAATGCTTCTTAGGGTCATGTATGTACATGTATGTAGAATTTATATATCATATATAACTTTATTCAAAATTGTTTCATTTGAATTCCATACCCCGCAAGAATATCAGAATAATTTTGTCTTTGAGCATTACAACATATAACTTTAGCAATTTTTAGAATAGCTAAAGTTATTCCAGATCCTGTGTTTGAGATACACGTAGTTTATCTTATCTTAAAGGTTACATTTATATTGTTTTAATAAACAGAATTCGAAGTATATGTATTATTATGGATTAGATAAGTCCATGGAAGTAAAAAAAAAATCTGATTTGAAAATTTACAATTCATACTGGTATTCGGTTTTAAAACTTTTCCGTTTTTAAGTGTAATTTGTTCGCCCTCCTGAATGATTTACTGTGCAACATGCCCAACCTGTGGCGAATATTATATAGGGCAGACAAATCAACTTAACGCACGAGTGAGGGTACACAAACAACATATACGGGACGAAACTGTCAGATGCACCCCTTGTTCAGAACATTTCGCCGAGTGTGGTAAAGGGAAATTTAAGATTTTTCCGTTCTACAAAATGTGGACATCGGATGAAATCGCCCGTGCTACCAAAGAGGACTACATTATAAAACAAAAACTGAATTGCAAATGACATTATATATAATTCACAAAACTTATTTTATTTCTATGCTTTTTAAATTAAACATTCTTTGACTGCATTGAAAAAGTTCATGCAACCGCTACTACAAACTACATTGTGACGTCATAATGGCTAAAATTATCACGACGTCATTAGCAACGTTTTTGACAACGTTTTGAATTTTTTTATAACTGTCTGAAGAGCCAACATGGCTGAAATCGCTAACAGTAAATATTTTATTTAATTTGGACAGCAGCATTCTATTTTTGTTTATTTAAGTATATATATATATATATATATATATATATATATATATATATATATATATATATATATATATATATATATATATATATATATATATATATATATATATTAAAATAAAATAAAAAGGCAACACTTGTTAAAACGTAAGCGCTTTCATTGTTTTCTTCAGACGTTTTAAACAATTTAAACTTGTGACGTAATAACGTTATCTGGTGGTAACGTCAAAAACAATACAATGACGTCACAATACTGAAAGAGGAAACTTTTACATGAGTTAAAAGAAAATAAGCATATTGTTTGCATACAAATGTCAGTGTTTTACAAAAATATAAAAATGTCTAAAGTGAACTATTTAGTGATGGTTTTAACAGTTTTATAAAGTATTTCTCTTTTTCTCGTCTTTGCACCACATTGTCTGTATAAAGTTGGTAAAACGGAAAAACTGAAAATTGTCCCCGGCCACAAATATCAAGATGTCCGCTTAAATTTATTTTACGGTATTCAGGTTGGTTAATGTGCTGTTTGTGTATGCGGATACGTGTACGTAGTGTGGTTCCAGTTTCCCCAATATAGAGTTGTCCACATCCTGCACATGTAATACAATAAATAACGTTTTTAGACTCGCATGTCATGTCTGCCTTTACGGTAAAGTCTTTATTCCCGAAATTAAAGGTACTTCCAGTTTTCATGTAATTGCTGGTTCCACAACAGAGATCGGAACACTTCTTCACTGAATATAAGTGTTGCTGGTGGAATGAGGATTCGCATAATATCCTTCGTAGATTCCTTGGTTGTCGTTTGCTGTTGATAAACTTATACTTTTCTAAAACTTTGGCCATTTCCTCATCGGTTTTTAGAACATTGTTTAGTTGACGAACGGTTGAAGTAATATTCTTGTTTCTCGGATTGTGAGTAGTGACCAAAGGTAATATCTTTAAATCTGAAGTTTGACTTCTGGTTGGATTTATAAGGTATTCTCTGTCCAGTTTTATTGCCTCTTTGATTCCGTCTTCAATGATACCCATAGGATAATACTGTTGAAGCGAAACGTCTTTAATTCACTTAGACGTTTATCTCTTATTTCTTTGTCACTAACTATAGTGCAGATTCGTCTTGCTAAGTTATAAGGAATTGAGCGTTTTGTATGGCTTGGATGGCAGGAACTAAAGTGAAGGTATTGATGGGTATCTGTTGGTTTGTAGTAAATATCAGTCGATAAATGCTCCTCGTGTTTCCAGCAGTATCTACACGGACAGAGAAGAAGATGGAAACCAAATATGTGGTTATCAACATTCATTGTCAATCTTGCGATGCATAGATACAATAAATATATATTCGATAAATATTTAAAAGGAAACCGTTCGGGTCTCGCCCAACTTGGTCAAAGACTCAAGTTTACTAGTAAAACCATAATGCTCTTTATTGGGTTGGGGGGGGGGGGGGGCAGCCATACATTTTCAGTTTTCAACTACCAAAACTTTCTTGACAACCAAAAACAAAGCAAAAAAAGTCATCAGATGTTTTATTGAGGGGGCACAAGCATATAGTAATTATGATTTCTATAGTATTTTATATATCGGCAAAAATATAAAATTATTGGGGGGCACAATGTAAAGAAATGTACCCTCATTAGTATTTCATATAAATAATAATTTTCTCCCTCATCAGTGTTCTTATTAAAAAAAAATCAACGATAAGACCATATAATATTCTATATACCTATGTATTGTTTTGTTTAATGATGAAAAATAAGAATTTATATATATTTTCTAAAATGTAACCTAAAGTTCCTTTTTATTTCGTTTTAATACATATATCTTTTTTTCTTGCATTATCATTTAAGCAAATGACCCATTTGATATGAATATATTCAACGATTTCTTGATAGTAAAACATAATAAATGGGAGTAATCAAAATTGAACCTGCCTTTTGATTGGTTAATTTGGATCTTGAATCTCGAAATCGAATTTCGAATCTCGAATTTCGAATCTCGTATTTCGAATCTCGAATGAGCCTTCTGGGCTTTCGTATGTATTCCATTGTTGTCATACTTCTCTTTGGGAACCGACAGTTTTACTCAGAAATAAATCTTTGGACACACGTTATTGCTTTGCAAGCCCGTTCTGGCATCATGCATAATCACTAACACTAGCTTGTATGCTACAATTTTAAAATTCAAATATGGAATTCCTTACCCTTCTTCAAATAACCCATGAAAAAATTCAAGGGAAGCAAATAATGTTTAGGGCACATGTGATGAAAACTAATTGTTGTTGACATAATCAAGGTACACATGAATCACATCGAATAATTTGGTTTTTTTTTTTTTGGTCTATAATATAATCGATATCTATGTGTCTTTTGTTTTAAAGTTCAATCGATATCAATGCCAAAGTTTCTTTTAAAAATATGAACGCAACTATTTTGAGAATTGTAAGTTAAATATACACAAACTGAAATATCCATAATTTACCAGAAAGTACGTGATCTATTTTGCCATAACTGTTAGAAACTTGATGTCGCTAGATATACTAAAAGTTATCAAATTTTAACAATCCACAGATAACATATGTGTACCAAATAAATGTACAGCAACACAGAGCTCTACAAGAGGTGCTTTAAGAGCAGATAAAGTGATCGACGGGGATAACCTTCAGTTCTTCAATAGGTGCTCACATACAGCTGAAAACGAAACAGGGCCAGCATGGGTTATGGTGGACCTTGGAAAAAAATATAGACTGAAAAACGTAACAATCTTTTATAGAAATGATGGTAAATATGTTTCTTTTCACTATGATCCTATTCAAAATGCTCTCATTTTCTGTTGCTTGAATTGACTTTTGGGCACAATATTTGTTGGTTACATTTGTATCTTTTTACATGTATTTCATTCTTAACTCGATTTGAGATGTTTAAGAAAATCAGATGTGGTAGGGCAATCTCTTGAATTTGTGATCAGGAGGCCCGTGTTTCTTTTCTCCTTCGCCTACACCAAGTCAAATCAAGATGGTCAACTATTTTGAAGGATGGGAATACATACCGATCCCGGTAAACTGACAAAAATTTAAATGTCAATGAATGGACAAAAAATTTATAAAAGGGCAATAACGCGAAAGGGGTGTAATTAGGCTGGAAAAAAACGCTTTTTAGCATGTTTTATCGTTCTGTCATCAGTGGAAAATTGTTTTTGGTAAGCTTCTATGTGCAAAATGATAACATTGCCATATACGATAGATTCCTTGGACATTCATATCCTCTATTGTTCTAAGACCCACCAATTCTATTTCATAAAAGAACAGATTTGCACAAACCAGGACGAATTTTGCTGTGATAGGATGAAAGAAATCATAGATTTTGAAGTATGTTTTATAAAAAACCTAAAATTTGTCGGAGCTATTGAAACTATTTAAAAGGCGTATTTATTCACTCATGTCTGTAAACTTACAAAATCGTCGTAGATTAAATATAATTCGTCATGGAAATGGGGGCCTCTGATGGAGTTATGTCACATCATCCTTTCACAATTTAAATAATTGTATTACATCTACTTGACTAAAAAGGAAATCTCTAGAGCAAAAATACAAAAAATATTGAAATAAAATGTGATAATTTGGCGCTTCTTCAACAAATTCCCATGCGATCTAATTGTAAAATTGGACAACTTCTGTGACGGACCCGAAAAAATCGGGATGTTTTTTTTTTAATTTATCAATAACAAAATTAATATATTAGCAAAACTTTATTAACGAAAAATTATTAAAATCCTTATGGTACAAATAATTGAAATAGGCCCCGTTAATTTATGTTATAGTAGAAAAAGATACACTAGATACATGTACTTATAATGAATTATTTCACCATGAAAACTATTGTCTATTCTTAACATATGTAATCTTGACCCACTTTAAGAATGCATACTTTGGTTTTTTATTTCCTGATAATTTATTTGGGATTTTTCAATAATTTTCCGTATATAATATGATTAACTTTACAGATGAAGTTTGAAGAATTATCGGGGGTAAAAATACATGAATTTGAGAATTCAAAGACATATTTGTAAGCATTTTCAAATGACAATCCCTGATTTTCAGAATTTTGGGATCGAAGTATCTTATGTTAAATAAAACAACATTAATTGAAATGTATACAATAATTTCAAAGAAATGTGAAAAATCAAGAGATGTTTATAATTGTGAGGTTACTGATTTTTAGAACTGTGGTTAAGGTGTAGTTTAAAATATATTCTATTCAGTGAATAGGATTGAACAGAAGGTATAAATGCCTTTGATCGTTCTAGGTACTCACTAGTTAAGTTGTCAGACAAAGAGAAATTTGTCACATTTCCTGAAAAAAAATATTTGCGATTTACTTATTTTCCGTATATGATATGGCAAACTTTAGATATGAAGTTTGATGGTTTATCGTGGGTAAAACACATTACTTTCAGAATTCAAAAACGTTTTGTAAGCATTTTCAATAAGTCATAGCCTTATTTTTTTTTAAACCTGAGAATCGGAGGATCTTTATTTAAATTTCAAAAAAATATCAACTGAAATATATACAGTATTTTTAAAGAAATGTGGAAAGTATTTTAAGAAATGTTTATAAATATTTGATTTCCGATTTTTTAAAACTGTGGTAAAGGTGTCAGACAAGGAGAAAAAATCATAGTTATGTCGCCCCGAACGAAGTCGGGGACGACATATTGATATTGTACGCATGTTTTTTTATCCAGGCTGTTTCTCGGAGATGGCTGGGACAATCTTTCTGAAACTTTCCTCAAAGGACGATCACTGGTTGTAGTTGTGCAGTGAGGTTGTTCAGTTCCAATATGTCTTCCGTTGCCATGGAAACCTGTAAAAAGCGACAAATTTTGTCCGAGAGTGTTCTCTCTGGTCCCTTTAACGTTCGTCATGAAACTTTTCTTATGTTAATGATTAGTATCTGTAGTTGTGCGCTTCGCATTTAAAATTTTCAAATAATCGATTATTGCCATGGAAACCAGGTGAAAGTTAAAATTCATTAATTTCGATTTTCTCAATAACTACGCAGGCAATGGTTTTGAAACTTTCAATGTTTATTCCTTGCAATGTGTCAAAGTGATTTCTACTTTTAAAATAATTGTAATGAGTCGCTCACAGTTGCCATAGAAACAAAACAGAAAAAAAGATTAAGATGTACACATGTGTTCTCCAAGGTCTAGGTCAAAGGGTCAAAGTTCATCGTATCCAATAAAAGTTCTTTTCACAAGGATTACATATTTGAAATACGAAAGCCCTATCATTTACCGTTCATACGTTATGGCTAAGGTACTATGTTCAAGACGACCCCCCCCCCCCCTTTTGAAGCACACGGCCAGGTAGAATACACAGATATAACATATACATCTTACAAGTAACGTTTTAAAAGTTTCATTCATAAAATACAGTTCCCGTCATGTGATATTTTGCCATCATTCATTCTCCTTCTGTTTTGTCTCTTGAATTTATAATTATTTTATTTTATCTATATAAAAAAAAAATAACGATTGTCAACTGCATTTATTATCATTTAGCCTTTTCTTGTATATCTATTACTTGTATATTATTCAATTCATTAGATAGTGCAAGTAAAAATAAAAAAAAATGGTACGCCATTTCCATAGTTTTTATTCATTCATAAATCCATGGATCCGCTCCTGCGGGTTCGCGAAGCTTTGATCACCACTGTATACAAATATTCATCTCGCCGAAAATGTTCATGATTCCGCTAAACTGAGAAAGTTTACACATGATTTATCATCTTATAACAAACATCAGCTCTCTGCAATACAGAGATGCTCGAATTCATGGTGGCATGTCTGATTCGATTTTTCGGCAGAGCCTCTCAAAATGAAAGTGAAAGAGTGAAATTTCAGAGTTCTCACTGTCGTTATAATACACAAAATTATTCGGCTGATCTTCTTCATAAATCACATTTGCCAAGCTTTTATAATAGGAAAGATACTGCCAATTAACAAGTATGAGGCTCAGTTCAGTACATCTGCCAGATTTCTTTTATGCAAGTCTGCAAATTTAGGAACTTGTAATTTTCCTGCACTACTTTCTTCTCCTACCGATTCTAAAAATAATTAGTGGGATGTACCCAATTAAGGTCTTCCGTTTCCAATGGAAAGGACTGATACGACTTGATGGTTGTTCAATTGTTAGCTTAAGGACTATTGTTCTAGTGATGATAAAAATGAAAGTCTTGTCCAGTACGGGGCGACATATGCTATTGCTTGCAATAGCAGATTTTCTAGTTTTATTTTCAGTTTTATTCACGACCTCACTCGATCTAATTCGTGTCTTTATCCAATATCATTATATTGACATGGTAAAGACTTTAAGGATGTTTTGTAAATATTTATGTTCCCCAAACGGCGTTTGGGAACATATTGTTTTTACTTTTTTTGAATTTTCTTCATTGTTCTCCTGTACTTTTTTGTCCGCGAGTGTTCTGGTAAACTACTAATCCGACCTAGGTGAAACCTTTTTAGGGTCACTAGGTATGTTATGTAGATGTGCGGAACGAAGGTCATTTTGCGCGCACGTGCGTGCGTGTGCGCACTCGTGTAACAGGTGAAATGACCAATATAATAGATATAGCCGTAATTCTTTAAATTTTTTATGGAAATGCTTAAAAACTCATAATATAAGGATATATTAGTAGTATAGACATGATGACATGGTCAAAATAGCAAGATCTCACGCGCATGCTCGTGCTCTTCTCTCCGATTGGCTGAAAATAAAAGTCTTAATATCTTTTTTGTTTTCTGACAAAATCCTTCGAAATTTTGAACATAGTCATATATTATGAAGATCTACAGCATGATATATAAGAATAATCATGAACGCATGCACATCCACGTGTGCTGCAATCTGATTTGTAAAACTTTAAATGCCTACAGCTTTCTTGGTTTTCAATAATACAGGATGAAATTTCGAATATGAATAGATATAATGAATGCCTACATTATACTAATTTCAAAAGTAAATGCAAGGACGTGCATGCACATGCGCCCGCACACAATGCATTAAACGACAGTATACTTGAGTTTTTGATGTTTATGCAGAATTAAGAACTTCTAAATGTCAAGATATGTAACATACTGAAGCATGCAGATCTTTTTACCCTTGAAACTGGGGTCAAGGTCACTAGTTACCTGAATAAAATGTTGATATTAGCTATTAACCAAAATCACCTTGACCTATTAACTTGAAATCGACCTTAACCTTTGTCCTTGACCCAAGGGTAAAAAGAAACATGAAGTACATGTACAAGTATCTAGAAACACCTTTCAGAGTTTATTACGGTTGGCATGATAAAAGTTAAACAGGTAAAGAGGTGGTTTTAATGACCTTGACCTTTCACCCAAATGTCACAATCAATCTTAAGTTCTTGAAGTAAGATACAAGATTTAACTCCAACGTTAAATAGGTTAAGAAAAGAAATCCCCCCTTCCGCAACAACCGAACAAATCAAATTAATTGCAACGTAGAAAATCGCTGTTAAACTCAAATAACATCTCGGTCCCACATAAAATTTCAGGAAAACTGCAGAAAAGAGCTCAAGGAAAGTATATCAAAATATTTGATTTGAGTTTCCAAAGTATATAGAAATTATTAATTTATACGGAAAAAATTACAAATCCTGTCATGCTTAAAATTAAAGTGCAGATGAACAAAGTTTGTATATAAGCCTTTTATAGCCTATGTATTCAGATTTCGTTAATAGCATTCAATTCTACTGATTTTAAATAATATTTTAATACCAAGCATCCTTTGTTTATTTTTCCTTTGAATTTTTTTTGATTTTTTTTCGTTTATTTTTCCATTGAATTTTTTTTTTGATTTTTTTTAATTAAGCAATCCCCATAAAGAGCAATTTTCGGTATATTAAAAATCAATATACATGTAACTTCGTAAAATAATCAGGTATTTGCGTTCTTGAAAAAATATTAATAAGAATGTGTTAAACAATATTGGTCACATTAGCTGACACGAAAGTCTTTATAAACATCTCTTGTGAATCCCAGAAAGTAGCCTNCTATGCATTGGTAAAAATGNATAGTTNTGGTCAAAAACCTTTATATATTTATTTACAACGTATATAAAATTTATTAGGCACAGGTACCGGAGTTGTCAAAATGGCCTGAGAGGAAATATAAAAAAAATTCTGAACAGAAAGGAAAATCCCTTTTCTATGTATGGAACTACTACTGAATAAATTCATTTTCATTGGTTAGCTATTGGCATGATACAGTCCCTGAAACGTTCTACTTTCCCACCCGAACGATGAACGAACGCAGAGCGAACGGTGAGTGAACGATGTGCGAACGCTGTACGCAACTTGGTGAACGGTGAACGGTGAGTGAACACAGAACGCGAACGGAGCGCGAACGCGAGCGCAAAGTGAACGGTGAACGAACGGTGAACGCAAGATGAACGATTTATTCGGAATACCTCCGATCTTTTCCTTGCATTGAAATTATTCTATTATTCTATAATTCTAATTTCTGGTGCTTTAATATTAACAATAGATAAATAAAAAAATAAATAAATAATAAAATCATTTTTTCTGTTCCTATGTTTTATTTTATAACACGATTTTAATTGCCGTAAAACATGTGTATTTACAAATGTATTACCGAACGCGTGTAGTTTGAATATAAAATTAATCTATTTATATAGTAAATATGCTTATTCTTTTAACTAATAAAATAATGTGGACTTCAGAAGATAAAACTACTACTTATAGAATGAATTAATTACATTGTACGCGGTATATACATGAACGAACTAATTATCGCTTGTATACAAACAATATAGTAAGTCGTATGTGTATTATGTACTCGTCAAATAGTGTGCCCTATTGTGATAAACCGTACAGTTTAGATGTTTAATGTTTTTTTTCTCTGATTTTCATTCTTGTTTACTGGTTACTGTGGTCAAGATACTTTGAAAATTTTGAAATACCAAAAATAAATACTTTTTTTTTTTTTTTACAAATAAACATTTCTTAAAGCTTACATAAATATTTCGTCGGCGAATGTACATGCACATGACATAGGTTTCGGGAATTTGTTTATCAGTATTTAGCTCTGGAGCTTAATTTTTGAAAATTTCTGCAAATGAAAAATTGATACATCATTTTTAGAGATTCGCAAGTACGATCGAATCAATGGAAACATGGATATAACTTGTAATTTAAGTCTTTTCATTCTGCTTTTTTTTCCAATCGTATTCCACTTTCTGCATATTATGAAATCCTATTCAATCAAATTCAACGGTCCACCTACATGTACACCTTCTGATAGAACAAACAAATCCGTTTTCTTAAGTCTGAGAATAACCTAAATAATTATTTATAATCTAAAACATTAAGAAAAGTCTTACTTGTATTTAGTTCCAGAAAAAGTCAATAAATGAATTATTGATAATTCTTTGAAATCTTAAATCAGTATTACATGTAAGCCGTATTTCGTTTAGAAAATACTACTGTTGGCACAAATTTATTCTAAAATAATATTGTTTAATGATTGTTTGGTGTTGGTTTTAAGACTGATTTTTTTGAGTAACAATACACATTTGATATTAAGTAAAATGTACTGAAAATACTAAGAATTTTATTTCGGGAGAAAAGGCACCGGGGGTGGGGGTGGGGCTTAATTATACTTAAATGGTAAACATATATTTGGGTACGGTGAAGGAAGGAATTTTCCATCTCTAATAAAAGATTATTTTAAAAAGTTGGTGCTTTCTAAAATTTAAAACCACATTATCAATTTAATTAGCTCTAAATATATTTAATTAACTGAACATTTGCAGTACTGTTCATAATTCTAAGACCTACGTGTAGTTTGAAACACATGTTACTGTAGGAATATTTTTTTTGTGTATTTATGTCTTGTAAAAGACTTGCATTAATCATTATACATCCATTGGTGATTTGTCGTCTTTAACATTACAACAAATTCTTGCCGTGCGTAAAGCATTTGTACATTGTCTTTTTTTTAAATTTAATATTTTAGCATCGTTCTACATACATGTGCAGTAGGTACTCAATGTATTATTTTCCAGGGAAATTTCATGAATAAAGTAACAGCTGAGTTATGACAATAAAAATATAAATACCATAGATAATTTTTGCAATGAAATAATTATTCTTCAAACACGATATCTAAGTTATTTAATTAAAAAACGTGTAATCCTTACCATCAAAAAGATAAGTCTTTCACTTCGGATTTCCGAATGACAATAAAGACTGAACGATAAGTGAACGGTGAACGCAAGGTGAACGCAAAGTAAACGGAACGAACAGCGAACAGTGAACGTTTTGTGAACAGTGAACGCGAGCGCATGGTGAACGGTGAACGCAATACTGTGAACGGAGAGCGAACAGTGAACGCACGCTGAACGAAAGGTGAACGAACGCTGAACGAACGGTGAACGATCGGTGAGCGAAAGGAAAAATGGGAAAGTAGAACGTTTCAGGGACTGTACCCTTAGTCGACTTTAATAACCCTGCCTTGTCGTCGGAATAAAACCAACTTGGAGCCCGAGGTTAAAATAAGTAGAGAAATAAAATGTGAATCAATATATTAAAAAATGACAAATGCTTGAAAAAATGGTAACTTTATATAACATGTATTTTTTTTCTTTGATTCGCGGGATAGAAAGATATGTTACTCGCTTAACCAACATGCCATAATCATCTTGCATATAGTATGTACATGTACGTGTGCGCGCATGCAAAACGTTAAACGATATATACGAGGATTGTCCCATAAAATCGTGGACAAAGCGTTTTTCTCAAAAAATAATAGACGTATTAAGCTGAAATTTTCATTGAATGTTTATTTTATCATATTTAAGTTAATTATAATGTTTTTGATAAAATATACGCAAAAATATAGATTTTATAATGCTTGAATGTGCACAGGGTAAGGCCCTACGGCGCACAGTCAAAATAACGAAGGTTTTATAAGAGAATACAGGAGTATTGATTTGAAACAAAAGATTTAAATAGATAAGATTAGGGTAATAATAATCCTTATTCAATTCAAAAAATTTATTTTGTTGTCTTCTTCAAATTTTCAATGCATTTTGTCAATTTTTGACATTTTCCTAGCTTTTGAAATGGGAAAGTGGTAAACACAACACACAAAAAATGGTGACGTTTGGTGACTTTACGGCGCACCGGATATCAGTTCACTATAGGATTTAGATGGAGTAATAACGCCGTATAAAACTTTAAAAGAATACAGAAAAAAAAATCCCAAAAAATTGCCAAATTTTTGGTATATAAATGAAATGGGAGTTTTCTGAGTAAAGTCTTTCTTAATCGAGTCCCGAGGTAGTACAAGACATACAGACAAACTACAATTGTAATAGCTAAAGACGCTGTCAATGTTGACCGCATCAATATAAGATTGTCTATTAGTTGAGTGATATTGGAATATTGTTAAGTGGGACTTATCCAACTTTATTTTTAGTTGCAAAGATGAAACTTGAGGTACCTGACGCTGTTTTAGGCACTTTGACGTTATCATCCGTTACAATACATAATATTAAATCTCACAATTCGTTTATTTATGCATATATCTATTTGAAATTTGCTATATTTATTAAGAAAATATGTACTAAGAAGTAGTGAAAATTTCAGAACGGAGTAATGATTATTATTCATGCGAGACAACTTTTCCACGATTTTACGGGACAACCCTCGTAGCTGATATCATTGTAACTTTTATTATCCTAAATGAAATCCTTGGATACTTAGCATATTAATAAAAGGTCTTAGAGGAATAAGGCACGAAAAGGGACATGGGGAGCGTTTTGGGAACATCTGTAACGGACCCCGTTACAATTAGCACTAGTTTTTTTTGCATTTTCAATTTATTGGACATTATTTTTATACTTATCAAACTGTTCTCAAAAGTCTTTTTCTGTTTAATTACATTTTCATCATTGTATAGAAAAATATACAATTATGATTGGAAATATAAATACATGAAAGTAATATTTTACAATGTATTGTCATTATTTAGGAACCGATGAAAAGGACTGGAAACCCTACCGGTTTAGGAAATATAGCCTAGAAGTATTCAATGCATCTGATACTCAAGACTGGACACAATGTCACAAAGATAACACGCCAGATGAAACAGTACCTCCAAGCATACAGAATATTTCTTGTGAAATGACAGCAAGATTTATCAGAATTATAACAACGTACGATGCTCCTGAAAATCATGAACATGGAATTGCAGGTGCTATCCTTGAAATATGTGAAATAAAAATTTATGGTAAGAAAACATTATCTACAAAATATTTTGCTTGTTCACGTACATTGTAAAGACGAACAAGAAAGGATATTGGTAATTTGAAAGGATTTTTGTTGCGTTATATTAAGCGCACATTTTCAACAAGTTGAAAAATTTACAAATAGTGCTATACTCTTACATCCCTAAGTTTGTAAACTAGGACTTCTATTTTTACTATCTCTTTTTTTTAAAATTATATCAATATTCACCAGAAAAACAAAGTTATAAAGTGCCTTATTTGTTAAAAAACTAGTACAGAAAAAATATCTGCAGAACTGTAGCCTTGTGATCTTATATATTAGTTTTTGTCCATAACGCTACAGATCTCGTAATGCCAAATTATGTAATTTACGGCGCAAGATTTCTTGTACACTAAGTGTTAAAAATCGTAGGAGGCAATGTCAAATCATAGCTAGAATGGATGTATCTTTCTTGTTTTATTCAGTTTATTTTACGAGATAATGCATTTTATTTTAAAGGATGTGAAATCGGTTATTATGGCCCAGACTGTACGTCATGTAAAAATTGTGAAAACTGCGATATTGTAGCCGATTGTGGTAAGTAGATCTTAAAAGTACAGTACAATGAACTGAATCTCGGAACTTAAGACTTACTGTACCTTTTTGATCTTCATTTTCAAACAGTTTGCAATTGAATTTTGTATCACAACTCGTTAAAACATAAAAATGACGCTATTTTTATTATATTTTAAAGGTCATATGTCAAGATTAAACAATTTTTTTCTTGAAATCGTTGATAGTTTTGCAATAAAATTCTATATCACAAGTCTCCATAGCCTCAAAAAGGATATTAGTTTCGATGTAAAATGTTCAAGGTAGAGGTCAGAAACATTGATTACACAGTAGATGTACAAAGTTGTCAGATAAAATTTTTAATTACCGGTGTTTGCAGTGAAACTTTTTGATTAACTTCTACTGTGTTTTCGATCAAAATCTAAAAGGTCAAGATTGCCTCTTTTAATTGTTTTCCCCAGGCTTTTCACCCTCTAGTCTGATAAGATCATTTATAACTTACCAATTAGATAATGTTTATGCAATAATTCTGTTTATATAGAGGCTTAAAACTTCAAATGGAGTTAACATTGTTGATATAGATTAAATGTTGAAATAAATCAATTGGTAAGAACATGCAGTCTTCATCACTGAAAAATAACGAATAGGCTGATCAAGACTTGTATCTCAGATCTTTTGGTTTTGTCTCGAATTCCTCTTGTCGAAAATGACCTCAGTACAAGGGATAAATGCCAAACGTTGAACTTCACACAGAATGAGGCTCTACTGTTTATTTGCAGACTTTATTCTTTTTTAATTTCTATTTCTAATACTCCGTTATTACTACTTTTTGGACAAAGCTTCCAGACATAAAACATAAAGATAGAAATTAGAGAGATAACTATTCAAGGCAGGAAAAGGATATTAAAATATTTATTTTATTCATGTATTTTACAGTTTGCATTGTTAATAAACAAAATCATACGTTTATTGACCTGGTCCGAGGGCAGCATGCCTTTAATTTGTCGGACCCAAAAGCCAAACTTTTTGCCTGAGGCCGTTAGGTAAAAAAAAAAACGCGTATAGCCCGAGGGCACAATCAATAAATGTTTCGTTATACCTTTTACTTTTTATTTTGATATATATTTACATGTGATGTTAATTCACCCGCACTGCAGTTCCAAGGAACTCAAAGTTGCAAATAAGATCTAGTTGACCCCTCTAGCCCTGTGACGTAAACGATCAAACGTCTCAACGATAGGTCCAATATCTCATCCTGTAGTCGAACATGGATTTTTTTTACGGCTGTTCATTAAAACATTGGAAATGTTAGACTCCTTTTAGTTTTTATTAATGATAGAGGAAACAATTTTTAAACGTATTCCAAATTTTTATATAGAATGTCCAAAAGGATTCTACGGAAGAAATTGTAGTCAATCGTGTGGACATTGTGCAAACGATGTAACGTGTGACAAGGTGACAGGTGCCTGTCTCTCCGGATACTGTGAACCAGGATGGAGGAATGATAAAAGATGTGATCTAGGTATACATTTAAAGATATTACGTCATGAGAATTTTAGGAAAATTGAAACGGAATTCTGATCTCGTCATTTACATTTCCTTCTTTCTGCTTTTTTGGTTCTGTTTAGGAATTATTTTGTTGCTGGTCTTGCAATTTGTTGATCAGGTTGTTAAGAATTATTTTTAAAATCAACTTCTCTTGATACAGAGCGCTTGGTAAAGACCGCTTACTTTTCAATCTTGTTTCGGGTGAAAATACAAATGCTTCAGAAAAATAGCACACTATGACATATATAGAAACATTTTTAGTCAAAATCTTGATTTCTTCACATTGTTTACTACGTAAAGCTTTATTATCGATGTTTTCCTGGACAAACTATCATGAGTATAAGAATAACGGAAGCAATGCAGCAAAATTCATTCTGTCACGCAAAATCTGAAAAGAGAATGAAATATTTAGACTTTTATTTTCATTTTGCTCTGTGAAAGGAACTATTTCAATATTGTGAATGTCAGAAAGGGTTTAAGTGAAGAAATAACTTGCCGTCTTGCTTCTGCACACTGTTAAAAAAAATACATTGCAAAAACGTAACAGTTACATGTATACAGCAAATCAGATTTGAAGAATTCACATGGGATGCAATCATTATAAAAAAATATAATTCAACTTTTTTTTAAAGGGGTTGGGGTTAAAATGTGCTTCTTTTTTTAGATATCTTTGATGCTGGAATCTTTTGATTGTATTGTTTGTTTAATTGTAGCCGAAACTTTGCATGGGAATTTTGTTTCAATAAAGTGAGCGGAACGGATCTTGTACTAGAGAATGCGTACAAGAGTTAATAAATCAGCAATGCAATAACATAATTATTAAAATTATAATTTATGTAAAAATCACAAAGTCAGTATTCTTTGAATTCATAAAATAATTACAATGTTTAGATTTCTCAATATTATACTTCTCAACTTTGTATTTTTTTATAAATCTAGTCATTGTAGGACGTTCTTGCACTTTATTTCTACACAGAGAAACATCTTCCTCTGCAAAATATGTCAGAACTATTTACTTTTACATTGACCGGACTTTCCAAATTCTACTGCTAATGCTCCATTGGTTCTAAATTTGGGACAAAATTCCCTACGGTATAACGGAGGATAAGAATAATGGGCTGATGTATAAAAATATTTGTTCATTGAAGGCAAAAAAAAAGACATGAGATATTTTATTTATTCATGTTTTTTTCAGTTTGCATTATAGCTAAACAATAAGATAATTTGTAGAATGTCCTGAAAAATTCTACGGAAGAAATTGTAGAGAATCATGTGGACATTGTGCAAACAACGCAGTATGTGACAAGGTGACAGGTGACTGTCCCTCCGAATACTGTGAACCAGGATGGAGGAATACACATAATAGAAAATGTGATCAAGGTGAACATTTAAAGATATTACGCACTGGGGAGATTAAGAGATTCTGATCCAGTCCTTAACACCATACTTCTTTCTGTTTTAAGTCTTGTGATTAGCATTTTTTTGTTACTGGTCGTGCAATTTGTTCTCCAAATTGTTAAGTATTATTTTAAAATTATCTTCTTCTAATGCAGAGCTCTTGGTATAGGTCTAGGATGAAAATACAAGTGCCATGGCAAAATAACACTATGACGTATATACAAACGTTCTTCATTCAGACAATATCATGAATTTTTCAAATTGTCTATTACGTATAGCACATTATTGATTTTTAGCTCACCTGAGCCTAAGGCTCAAGTGAGCTTTTCTGATCACATTTTGTCCGTCATCCGTTCGTCTGTCTAGCTGTCTGTCCGTCCGTCCGTCTGTAAACTTTTCACATTTTCAACTTCCTCTCAAGAACCAATAGGCCAATTTTAACCAAACTCGATACAAAGCATTCTTGGGTGAAGGGGAATTCAAAATGTTAAAATGAAGGGCCAAGTCCCCCTGCAAGGGGAGATAATCAAGAAAAGACAGAAATAGGGTGGGACTACTAAAAAATCTTTTTCTCAGGAACTACTGTTCCAGAAAATCTTAAACTTATAAGGAAACATCCTTGGGTATTGTAAATTTTGAATTGTTAAAATCATGACCCCCAGGGTTAGGGCGGGGCCACAATAGGGAGTCCAAATTATACATAAAAAATATATAAAACAAATCTATAAAAATCTTCTCAAAAACCACTGGGTCAGGGAAGCTGAAGTTTATATGGAAACATCCTTGCCTAGTGTAGATATTGAATTGTTAAAACCATGACCCCCGGGGGTAGGGCGGAGCCACAATAGGGAATCCAAGTTTTACATAGAGATATATAGAACAAATCTTTAAAAATCTTCTTCTCAAGAACCACTGGGCCTGGAAATGTGAAACTTATGTGGTAGCATCCTTGGGTAGTTTAGATATTAAATTCTTAAAATCATTACCCCCGGGGTAGGGCGGGGCCACAATAGGGAATCCAAGTTTTACAAAGAAATATATAGAACAAAACTTTAAAAATCTTCTTCTTAAGAACCACTGGGCCTGAAAAGCTGAAACTTTTGTGGAAGCATTCTTGGGTAGAGTAGATATTAAATTGTTAATATCATGACCCCCCGGGTAGGGCATGGCTACAATAGGGAATGCAACTTTTACATAGAAATATATAGAACAAATCTTTAAAAATCTTCTTCTCGAGATTCACTAGGCCAGGAAAGCTGAAACTTATCCTGGGATAGTGTAGATTCTAAAGTTTTAAAATCAGAAAAGGGAAAAGAACTGCATCAACCAAGTTACTCAGGTGAGCGATATAGCCCATGGGCCTCTTTTTCTTGGACACATTATCATAGGAATAACAGAAACAATAAAACGAAATTAAATTATGCATGACAAACATGAAAAGAGTTTAATGTATTCAGACATTTTTTTTTTCATTTTTGTACTGTGAAAGAAACAAATTGAATATGTATGAAGATCAGAAACGTTTCTACTGAAGAAATACTCTGTTGTCTATCCGGCTTTACAGTTTTAAGAATATTGTGACAACGTGATTGGGTATTCTATGAATCAGATGCCTGAGATGCGATTAATGTATTTCATTAAATGTTTTTGGTTAAATCATTCAAATTTAAAATAGAAGTTTTGGTCTCAGAATGTGATTTTAATACCTTAGGATTGTATTGTCCGTTAAAATGAATAGGGAACTGTGGGACCTTTTTCTAGAGAATACGCAAATGAATGGATAATTATAAATCTACATTGCAATCAGAGAAATATTTAATTTATAAATGATATCATCCAAATAAATACACAACCAAACAAAAAATTGTGACATGTGTATTAATAAATAACATAATTAATCTACACTTTCAGAGCACTTAAAATCCTATTTTCTCGAGTCGAGATTATTTTCATAAACATATGTTATTTAGATATTTCTTCTACCAATTTTATTACATATTTATTACAGTTTGCCAGAGAGGTTTTTATGGTAACAACTGTGAAACACAATGTAATGCAAATTGCACTGATGATAATTGTGATCCTACAACTCGGAAATGCAGAAGGGGTTGCAAAAATGGATTTCATGGCACAATGTGCAATTTAACTTGCAGTGCAAATTGTGTTAATAACTTATGCATACAAGAAAACGCAAATTGTAACCTTGGATGTAATGAGGGATTCCACGGGTTATTCTGCAATTTAGTTTGCAATTCCAATTGTAAAACTTGTGACCAAAGAAGTGGAAATTGTATGCAATGCAAGAGAGGACAATATGGCATCACATGCAACTTAAATTGCAGTGTAGGTTGCAAATCTAATCAATGTGATAGTAATGGAAATTGCATTGACGGATGCAGGGATGGATTTTATGGGAGCCAATGTCGAGAAAAATGTGGAAGAGGTTGTTTATCTCCTTGTCGGAATGATGGTTTTTGTCCTTGTTCATCAACTGGGTGGGAATATTTTTATTGCAAAAGTATGTATTATAAAGATCATCTTGTGCTTTATGTAATTACTACTTGACAATGAACGATTGATACATTATTTAAGGTTGTATGAATGTGAGCATTTTTTAACACGAATTGGAATGAAAGTTGCATTCAAAGTGATGTCCGTAAAAGTGTTTACATTATTAGATACTTAATTATGCTGTGCATTCAACTTAACTATTTTTATTCTCCGATTGAAAATGAAAATGAAAATAGCTGCTTTGTCATCGAGTACGCCTCGTTATTTTACGTCACCGTCCCATTTCCCATCTCCATAGTAACTACAGCGCTGGATTTTCCGAACTGACTGACAACGGAAAATGGGACGTGCCAAATGCGTCTTTGCCACCCGAGAGCGGATTTTTGAATCCAGAAATCAGTCAAAAGCAGAAGTTTATACAATGTCATATTCAACAACCGGTAAGTAAAAATGTATCCAATAATACGGAACCTTACGGAAGCTAAAAATTACACCTGTGACTGTGTGCCAATATCAGATATCCAGAGTCTATTAGGAAGTGTCGGTTCTATATATCCTAGAGGCCAGAAAATGTTGTAAAATAAAAATGTTGTTAAAATTAATTTCAACTAGGAATGAACTTTTTAAAGATATGCTGAGCGATTCGGTGATTCAGGTCCTTTGTTGATATATTTTTTTCTTTAAGATATGTAAAATAAAAAGTGCATAACCCGGCGTAAACAAACTCAAACTACTCGAAGATTACGAGGAAACTTTTTTGTAATGAATGTTGAAGCAAAAGTTTGAAGAAGTTTAGATCCATGTATGAATAGGAGAGATTTTCTGATGGAAAATATGTCTTTAAAAATTGAATGAATATGATACATTGTGCTTACCCAAATTGTGTTGAAAACTTCAAACCAAAAAAAAAAGTGCATAGGTAACCACATGGGCATACAGTAAAAAACTGGAAGACGAGTTTAATTGAACTTCAAACTTAAGTTTAACTTACATTGTAAAAGAATTATATTGGTAATTTTATTTCGGATAAATTCCTTTATCTATATTTACACGTTGTGAAATTTC